CAACAGTACAAGTATGTTTGGGATGTATTTCTCCCTCTAAATGTGAAATTTCGCTCCCGGACCGGTCTACGTTAACACCTGAAGTGGTTGAGTAAGTTGACCATTTCACTAATGATGAAAGTGTCATCAGCCCTGGCTTGCTAGTTTCTGATGACATCTCGATACGGATCAAGAAACTCCGTTCTCATCAACGTGCGTCGCTGGTGACGTAAACGAGGTGTATGTCTGTCGGCCAAATTACGAGTTTACTGCGCAGCAATTCATATTCTACTATATGAATGTGGAACATGTTAATTTCAGCATAGCATATTTGTAGGTCATTAGAATTTCACGATAGATGTCTTCGAAACACTGCTGGTGTATCTTAGTATCACCGAGTGAGTGAATGTGAGGTTAGGCATAGGGTAATAGGTAAAGATGACTAATCAATTAATCAGGTAGTGAATCCTCACCGAGGTGGTTAGGACATATATCTCATATACCCAGCCACAGCTTACCTGGATGGGGAATATACGGTGTTGGAGTAAGCCTAGAGGAAGCTGAACGAGGCCAATTTAAGACAGCATCGATTCATGAAGTTATTAGCTGTTGAACTGAGCCATGTAAGTAGGTATAAATTGCCTGGTTGACGTCCAGTAGTTAAGGACTTGTGGCGACGACTGGAAATCGTCCACAATGGCGCAGGTCCATTCACTATGCATTTCGTTAGTCCCGAAATCTTATGTATTTCTCTTCACTTAGTCTTTCTACTACTCTAGGATTTATCTTGATCGTTTTGTCTCGCTGTGCAAATGTGTGGCAACCTGAATCTGTGTACATGTGGCCGATTTCTATGTTTGTGACTAAATAACATTTACATAACTGTTACAGTTGTGATCTGAATGATTTAAGATGTAATTGTTCTAAATCCATCGAAATACACTTTCGTTCACTGTCTTTAGTTATGTGTAAGAATGATTTAATAATATGGTGAAGGGTACTTATTTTTACAGCATGTTCTATGGTCTTACACCAAAATTGTGCGATTAACTACCGGGTTGTAATAGCAAAGCTCTTTTCACACTTGACCTTCAGTGGTCGTTTGCGATCAAAAATGTATTAGGAATGGGAAGTCTTGTAAACATTCATCTTGATGTGTGATTTCTATTTCCCATCGTTAGATAATTAATCTAAAGAACCGAGACAAATAAACTAAGGGGAAGTATTTTTGGAATCTATATTTATTCAGCTCTAATCAGTTTTATCTTAGCCTCTTACTACGCTACTTGATTACTTTTCCGGGTTTCTGTTAGAGACCTTCCACCATATTATAATGTAGGGAGCATCACTCCCATGTATCACTATTCACGTTTACACTGTAAAAAGTTAGTCTGCCACACTTACTCTAATATTTCACATATATTTAGCTAATTATCACCATGAAGTTTCATAAATATCCAAATTCTGGAATTCGTTCCATGTATTAATTTATTAGGCTGTTCTTCCCGCTGACGAAGTTTGTTTACTTATTTACATAGAAAGTCGTGCATTTACTTTAAACGCTTTCGCACTCGTTATTCATTACTTTGATCTCAAGATTATCAAAATTGTACTCACTAATAAGTCAGCCCAGGTTGTTTGAAGCACCAAAATTGGCACTTGGTACCAAAAATATAAATGATCATCTCGACTCAGGATATAAACGTTTTAGGGATTACTGTATTTATTTGCTCCAGCTATAATTTTTCAATTGTTCCTAGTACTTGAGTTTCATATTGTTGTTGTTCCTCTTTGGTGTTAAAGTCAGCAATAATTGTGAAGCACCGACATATTAGGTGTCGTTTCTCTGAGTAGACATATTCTTTTTGTACTATTAATCACAATCTTGTTTACAAATCATCTGCTTACAAGGACATCGATAGCTTAATTTAATACCTTTCTTATTTTATTACATTCGGATTTTTAAGTATCACGACAACTGGATGCTATTTGTCGTCGAAATATCAACCATACTAATATTACGATTTCAGCTTGCATTTTCGGTATTAGGTGTTCCATTTAATGTAACCTTACTAAGGAAATTTAATCAGAAATCGTAACCTAAACATTTTTGGGTTTATTTTGGAAAGTTTTACAAGACTTATAAGCGGAATAATTCCAGTTGAAACTTCAGAGATGATCAACGTCCGGATAAAGTTTAATAATTGTTTACTACAGGTTGATATTTTGGAGGATCCAAGAGAGGATACCTAGTTGGATATTGTTCCCAGCCTTACATTATTTAGTTGGTTGATCGATCACAATGTTTTCCACGAGTTTTCAATCGTGTGATAAATTATATCCTGGCTTTATGTACTTTTCAGTTAAGTTCAGACAACGTAGTTATCTTCAGTAAAACACCCTAAATTATCTGACAGTCAATTGAGGTGTTGTTAACCGAAGTAGCGATTGCGTGTATAGTATTTCAACTAACATTTTTCCATATTTTAAACATCAACTGGAGGTTATCCTTAAGTCTAATCCATTAATAAATATTTAATTCATGGGAATAGCCATGTGCTATTGAATCAGTTGGATGTATAAATACCGCCGTGTTTTAAAAAATATCTTGAGACTCATTAAGCTTATTATTCAATCGGTTGTATATTTCAAATAATTCGAATCCAGGCAGTTTATTGATGTCGATCATTATCTCAGCGTAAATAGAAAGCGCATATTTGAACTTAAAGCTTTTAAATAATTTCTGAGTTGTAATGGATCCTAAATGACGGCATTAGCTTTAGTGCATATCAAGTCTTATTCCTCAAAAATGCCATCAATAATTATCAAATTATGACTTCGGTAGGTTGTTCGTTACAAAACATTAATTTTCTCATTTTGCTTGAAGCAGTCGCTCAAAATGCACCTAGAATTTCAGTATCTTAAACACTTACTATTTCTTAATATGTGCTGTATTCATTATCAGTTTTGATATACTTGTAATACATCTCAATGTTATGAAATAGAGGTGATGCTTTTCTTCATATGAATTCAAATTGTTTATTTAACCGAAGATATGAAAGTTAAATAACTTTGAGTTCAGTGACGCGATTGCAAGAATTTCTCCAGTTTATTCCACTAATTTTAAAGGATGTTGATTTTCGATATACTTTGGTTTTAAAATTCCCCAGTTGTACACAATTTTGTCAATTTTGAGTGTTTGGTTATCGACGTATGGATGAATAAGTTAGGAATCGTGTTATTATTTTGGCTATTACCTAGTATACCTGAATACACATCAGTTATGTGAAGTGAATACCTTCTATTAATGAAGATAAGTGTTATTTTTATTAATTTTATTATTCGAGTAACAGGTTAATATTAAATTCAATTGAAGAAGGGCAATGTAAACAGCGTTTTAATCAATAACGTACGTTTCCTCCTATTTCGAACACTCGAGCTGAACAAGCTCACTCTGTAGGGAAAGTAGGTATCTGCGTATTCACCTACACTTAATTATATATTTATAATTTACAAAATAACAATATGACTTCATGCTCAGGATGTCAAGTTAACCTCCTGTCTTTTATATCGTTTTCTTTGTGGATGGTTGTAGTATCGTTTCATAAAAATAACATGAGTTCAACGAACATAAATTAAAAGAATACACTAAAATCTTAACCACAAACCTTTAAACGAATTTAAATAACCAGTTTTTCTATCATTAGCTAACAAAACATCTTTCCTAATAGTCTTTTTTTAAATTCTACTGTTAGGGAATTATAGTTAGAAAACGTATCTCAGCTTTGAATCCAGTAAATACAGTTGACGCACAAGCTGAATACACTGATGCATACAATGAAGTAGAGAACTGACAAGCATAAATACGTGGAAGATCTAGCTATGAGAGTGGAGAAAGCTGAAAGAGGAGGAAATATAGAACAAGTATCTGACACGACGAAAGAACTGTTAGGGAAATATATACACCGTTGAGTTTTATCTAATAACGGTTATCAGGACAAGTGATATACGAAGCCTTTGGAATTATTTCTAAAGTATTCTAGTACAACCCAACACTTGTGAAATGGACGTTACACGAACTGAAAAGCAACTTTACTTGCTAATTTCTTAGATTCATGAAGACATAACCAACGTTCGTCAATATTCTTCGGGAGGCTGATGGCTAGCCTTAAACATAGTCTGCGTACAACAATCCATTCAGGACGATACGTTTTTGGGTCAGCGAAAGGCAAGAAAACCTTGTTTTAAGCCAGGACACGATCAATTCCAAATACGCAGCATTCGTAACCATAAAAACGTCCCCAAGGATTGGCCAAACCTACATGTTATCTGCTCTGTATCAGTGCGTAAACGAAGTAGGCAAGTTTAAATAAGATAGCCCTATATTTTGTATTCCATGACAGTACTAATCAATGCGACTACTGAAAGACGTGGGACCGTCTAGATGGGACAGAGTTTTCGGCAGAGGTAAACTACTGGTTAGGTTAAATAATATAAGTAAACAGGATGAAATAAAGGAAAACAAAGGTGAGACAGTGTAAAGTAGATGCCTTTGAATTAAATGCACTGCAAATAACATGTACGCGAACCGGTTATTTTCTTCATTATTATTATTTATCATATTTCTGAGTGTGTTAGAATACTACCCTGACATCTCAATAGGATCCTGAAGTCCATTTACATCATAGGTTTGGAATCACAGTTTTCCAACTTCCGTAGGTGGGTCCTATGGGTCCACCAGCCTAGTTTAATGACCGGAAGTTCACTTTTCGTTCTACCATTTTCGTAAAAGCCCACTTTACGTGACAGGAGAACACGACCCTTTCCATTCTCCGTTTTACCAGCATTTGGGGACACTAACACTCTAGACTTTTCCAAGTGGCAGAATATAATCTGTTTCTGGCTACCTGTGGTTAATTGACTCAATTGATTTGAAGTCTGATTAAGCAATACAATCCGGTTGCAGCGAGTAACTGACATCCTTCCCCACAAATGAATGAATAGTGGAAAAAAAATGACTCGCCAATAAAAATTATTCCTTTTTAGTAAATTGATAAACTGATACACAAAATACTTAAGATTAATTAACACAACTAAAGCCATTTAAAATAATTATGCAGTTGGAATACAAGGGTCATTGTATTTCACTTCTCAATGAATGAAGTTATGAACTGACTATTAAATCTCAAGCATTATTCACTAGATCAGCTTCATATGAACTATTGAATGTTAAATATAATTTATTCGTTCAAATTAAAATGAAATACAAGTAGAACACATAGTGGAATTTAGTGCTATAACTATGAAAAGCAATTTGATTTATTATAAGAAATAAATAAATGATTTGGAAGATACTTCGATAGATTTTGAAGATATGAAATTATAAAGTCAATATATATAAATAGCTGAATAAAATTTACAAATTGTTAATATTTCTTCAAGCATGTTATTGTTTTAAATTTAACGAAGATAACATATAAGAATTCTTTACTTTTCAAGAGATTAATATTTAGATAAAGCCTCTAACAAATATTAGTTGTATACTGAAGTAAGTACTCGATTTTCATATTAAGGAAGCCTGTTTCTTTGTGAGAAACTTTTATTCATTGTATATAGATATATCTTTACGTTTTTTATAGAAGTAAAGAAATCCATGTTAAATTGATAATAGAAGAGTACTTTCCTCCAATATAATTTACCTCATTAAAAGAGATATCTAATTGAAATTACAATTTGTGAATATTTTTCTTCAGGCTGATATTATATAATTCAACATTTATAAAGCAAATTTTGAGAAAAAAGAGTCATAGGAAGTGGTTTATTACAGAAATGAAATATATTTTTAAACAACAAAATCTTGAACGCTACAAAATAATTTATAACATATTGAACGATTCAATTCAATTCAATTACAAATATGCTATGATTGTTTGAATGATCAAGTTTACAGTTATTCTAACATAAAATAAAATTGAAATTAAAGAAATAATTATCATGATCATACTACGTAATTTTTTTATTTCGTAATACATTAAATAAGACAAAAAGAAGTAAATAAATGGTAAGATCTTTTACCAAAATATAAAAAGATAAATAAAAGAAAAAAAGTAATTAAAACGAAAATGAAAATAATGATAAATAATAATAGTTACTACAGAGATATAGTATTGTAGTGAATTAAGAGAATATGATCATGAATACAATTTAAAATTGGTATTAGTTATAGTTTGTTAACATTGAAAATCATAAGATAAATACATATATAATGATAAATAATATTTACATAATCTCAATAGATAATTGTTAATTAGTGTGATGAGGTTTCACAATTATTTTCATTAATTGTATTAGATGTAATATTATTTAATGTGATGGATTCTTCCATTGATTTATCACCATTTAGTTCATGTAATTTCAAAGATGGTGAAGAACAACTGTTAGGTGTATTCAATAATTTGAATTTATCAAGAATATGTATAATTGATTGTCTTCTTGTACATTTACCATTAATGATTTTTTCTTCAGATTGATTGTTCAAATGATCTTGATTCTATGAAACAAAGAGATAGATGTTTTGTCAATACAGTGGATGTATGTTTTGAATGTAAGATATTCCGCTAATTAAAACTGAGAATAAATCTTACAGACATAAATGAGAAAAACTTTAAAACGTCTAAATTTCTTTATCTGTCAAATGCTTCACAAAGTTTCATGATCTAGTAGTAGGTCAAAAGATAAAAGTTGACAACGGAATACTTGTAAGACTCATATACGTTAAAAAGCTTAATAAAATGACTAATAGGTCGGTGCATTTATTGTGAATGCATACAATGATAGGTGTAATGAATGAAATAGTAGGTAAGTAAGTTGTAAAATACGCTTTTCATATTCACTGTTGCTACATCAAAAAATCAACTTCGGTAGCTTGAAGACGTTTTATGCAGTTATAACAGCTTCGTGCTCAAGCAATATTTGATGACTTTTAGACTGGTTGGAGGCAGCGGTTACTTCGCAAATTAATATGCATACGAAAGGATCCATGTATCTTTTTAAATTTATCTTAGCTGTCTGAATAGGATCCTAGGTATCAGGTACATTAGTGGCTTTTGATGTTATATATATATATATATATATATATATATATATATATAGTTCAAAATAAAAAATTAGTGGAATTTTAACTGAAAAGTATTTCCTATGTTCTTTACAAACATTTTCAATGAAATCTTGATTGGTGATTTGCCTGATTAAATAGTAACCTTAGCTGCCATTACTATCGTTATTATATTATATTTTGATATTACCTTTACTAAAAAACGTACAATTTATAAAACAAAGGGAGGCGGGGTGTGACAAGGAGGCTCTCAATATTGACCTTTTAAACGTTAGATTATTAGCTCAAAATTCGATCCTCTCCTGGTCACATTTCTATTTTTAAAAAAAGTCAAGATAGTGTTTTATGAAAAATCCAGCCTAAGATTTAGTACATAAACTTTTACTTTACCTAGATTTGGGAGTGTTTATTTGAAGAAAAATGCTATGAAAACTATATATTTGAAATGTACAAGTCAGTGGGAATAACTGTAATTTCAATATAAAAAGGGTACTTACTTGCTTGTCTGTATTATCATTATTACTGTTCATATTAACAATCTCTTCCTCTCTAATGGATAAAGGAGTATTTACATCATCTGTTAAATTGACATTATTTGATTTTTCAATATACGTATTGACAATAGATGAGCATTCTTTACAATGTAATACTTGTTTTATTAAATCAAAAGTTAAATCCAAAAATAATGGATCATGTTTATATAATTGATTAATAGTTAATGAATTGATAGGATAATTTTCATTAATTTTTATTAAATAATCATTTAATTCTTTTATAATTGCTTTATAACTAGTAAACATATGTTGATTTCTTTCTAATTCAATAGAATTCTCTTCAAGTGCACTACGAAACATTTTTTTCACCTAAGAAAAAGTATCAAACAATAATGAAATGATGATTCCATTACATAGAACTTATTCTAAAATTCTGAATGAATATTTATTAGGTAAATTAACATTATAAATTTGTATGCAAAATGATTTATCTGAGATAACATGATGAAAATGAACGTCACTTGAGAAAAAGACCAGTGAGGTTTCACATCAATCGTGCTTACTATTTCTTGTACATAGGACTAATCAATTTGATGCATTTGGAGTCTAAACAATATTGGAGGCTGGTAATTACCAAGTTATCAGGTTGATCTAATCAGGATGATATTGTTATAATTAATAACTAATTTATTATTATTAATATTACAGGGACAAAGTAATTATTCTACAATGATAATAATAGAACAGTTTAGTGATACAGTAAGTAATAGAAATAATAATAATATGATCACACAAATGTATATGTACTTTGGCGATAGTACACATTTGTTAAGAAGGCGAATTCAATCGCTTTGAGACAATGACTCAAAAGTATATATATGTTATTAAATAGTATGCGAATTGATATAATATTTACATAGATTGAATAAAAAAAGTATCTTATTTCTCACATGAATTAAACAACGATCAAATAATCCTACCAATTTTATTCGAAACTGTTATATATTAGGATATGTTGATCTTCGGTAACTTATTGTGATTCACATGACTTTGGACAGATTGTTGAAATATATAGAATAGTGAATTTTAAAAACTGTAAACAACTTTCTATTGAACAATGTAAATGATTCAAAAAGTATCTGCCTTTTATATTATTCTATCAATCGGAAGTTAATTGTAATCATTTGACGAATTGAATACATTTAGCGAAGGCTTATTAACAAATCAATATGACAAGATGTATCAGAAATTATTATTGTATAGAACAACTCAATTGAGTTAACAATAGTTATCAAATCACGTTAGCTCATAATAATAATATTCAGATTATTCTGATATTCATAAACTATCTGTTGGAGGAATATAGTTTGGAATAAAGCATGTTCCGTGCAGGACTATTGGGGAAAGCTGATTAGCTGTTTCTTAACCAATCAGCGTCAGCGGATACTCTAGGATCTTATGTGAAAATTATAGATATACTGACGTTTCTCTTATTGAGATTCCTACTTCCATTCAACGCTTTTATTTGGAATATAGTTACGTTACTGTTCAACCGTGTTCTGATTTGGGGACTTGTCGAGTGAAGTACTGCTTAAGAATACTAAACAATACGGGTAGCTGGATCGTAGTAACAGAAATCGTAACACAATCTAAGTGAATCAATTATTAAAGAAAGTAATGTAAAACCAACATAGTATGGGGTGAAAAGAGACTAAATTATATTTAAGTGTCAACTATTTCTGCCTTAAAAATGGTGTTAAATTCAATGGAAAATCATTAAACTGACGAGTATGCAATGGATATAAAAATGAACAGTAAAAATCAAACAAATACATTGATTTGTGATAACCTTGATAGCTTGAGATATGTCGAAAATATTTAATTTATTTGTTTGGACACATAAAAATTTATACAAGGGAACACCACATATATACATATAAACACGCGTCACGATAAAAAAGAGGTTGTGAAGAGATACAAAATGGACGGTAAGTATAATAAAAATTAATGTATGAGAGTGAAAGAACAATAATAATAGGGAAAACACCAAAAATGGAACTAGAAATAGAATTCTTTCAGTTAAAGAAGTTATATTCACTTTTATAGAGAACGCAAAATAAAGTTACAGCAGGGTCGCCACTGACTTCTATTCTAAAACATATCTGATAACGTCTCTACCCACTGTGTTGCAACGTCTCTAGGACCCCAATGAAGGAGTCGTGAAGGACCAACAGATGCCAGTCCTTTGCAGCTTTCTTTAATACCACGACACCATGTCATACACTGACCACCTCTCCACTTTTTCCAACTAGTCCGAGCGTCAGAAAATAATGCACGACGTGGAATTCTCTAGGATAACATTCGTAGAACATATCCAAGCCACCGGATTCGATGTTTCAAGATGGTGACACCAACTGAATTATCTTCTCAGCGCCCGAACACACGATAGTTTGAACGCAGTCGGGAAAAGACTTATCCCCTGTTGTGGATGCAGAGGAATAGACAAATAATTATCATGTTAAGTTCAATGGTGTCCCTGGACTTTAAATGGATATTTTCTATTGGTCGATATCTGTTCACTTGTTGTATATTGTACAAAATGTTGTTTTCTATTTTATGGTACGATGTGGTATGCTTGATTGGTATATAAACAAAGTATGTTTGGAATATAATGATCCATATCTCCGAGGCTGTGACTTGTGTTCTGGACTCAACTAACTGGGCTAGACAGGGAAGTGGGACCAATCGAGACTCTAGGCCGTCCGTACGTGTTTACGTGTCACTGTCACCGAATCGATCAATAAACGCTGCTTATCAAAACCTGCAGTCACACCCGTCATAACAATTGGCGACGGGGTGGAGAAAAATCTTGAACCTTGTAATTGGACGAGATTCAGGCTAATTGTTTCGACCAATCAGAGTCCAGATTATCATCAGCGTCCTTGAGCAACATTTGTCATTATCCCTACAGTTAATTTTCATTCCTGGTGCAGAAAAGAAAAAAATGACTACGTTTTCCGGCCAATTACAGCTTCTACTTGAGCAACAACAGCAGTGTTTCAAAAATAGCCAGTTGAATTTTTTAGAAAATTTACGCACACTGTTGGTAAATTTTCCATGTTTCGGAAATGCAACAGAAGTTGGTAAGTTCATTTCTCATCTGCAGACTGATCTGGAAAACAACTGCAGAACATATGAAGCTGTTTATAAAAGCCTCTGTGAATCCCGGACGACCAGTGATGTAAACGAGAAAGTTATTCATGATCCTCCCAGTTGTCCAGAAATGTCAAATTCCGAAACATTCCCTGTCGTGGGTTCAAATCCCACTGTTCCTGAAACGTGTGCAGACAATGATGTACCCAGCTCACAAGAAGATCTCTTATTAAATGCTCATAAATTAATTACAGTACCCTCTCACAAGGAAACAGGAAACGAATCGTGCAGTATACTGAGTCTAGCTGCTCCAAACGGTCCTCATCAGTCAACAACAGGAGATTCTGATGAATCTTATTATCTAGATCCTGTTGTACCAGAAAATGTGTTAAATGCACCAAACGATGATCAGAAGTTTAATACAATCTTGATAGATGTTAATTATCCCAGTGATCAATTATTCACAAATGAGATTTTCAAGGAATTCTATGGTAATGTTCCAGAAGAATCGAGCGTTGATGACCTCATATCAAGCGACGCTGATCCACACTACTTAATCACTTTTAGTGACTTCTCTGTTCTATGTGACAATTATGTGTTAAATAAAGTCAAATTAATTCTAACTTGGGGATATGAGGACCCAACATTATTTCGTGGGGGAGGATGAACCAGAAAATTTCAAAATCCGGATATCAACTCCGGATCTTCAAAAAAAGGGGAGGTGTTGTGGATGCAGAGGAATAGACAAATAATTATCATGTTAAGTTCAATGGTGTCCCTGGACTTTAAATGGATATTTTCTATTGGTCGATATCTGTTCACTTGTTGTATATTGTACAAAATGTTGTTTTCTATTTTATGGTACGATGTGGTATGCTTGATTGGTATATAAACAAAGTATGTTTGGAATATAATGATCCATATCTCCGAGGCTGTGACTTGTGTTCTGGACTCAACTAACTGGGCTAGACAGGGAAGTGGGACCAATCGAGACTCTAGGCCGTCCGTACGTGTTTACGTGTCACTGTAATCGATCGATAACACAGGGTAGAAATCGACCTCAACATAAAGCCATAACAATTGGCGACGGGGATTTTGGCAACAAAGAAATAATAATAATACAAGTGGTGACTCAGATTTTGGAAATAAATTAGCTGTATAATTGCCGGTGATTTTTGGAGCTAATATTATTGGCAAAAAAAATGTCGATTTCTTTCGAACAGTTGCGGTTAATATTACAGCACCAGCAGAAGATGTTGGCCTTGCAACAACAGCTATTTGTAACAGTTTTGGGCAGACTTTGCATTCAAGCAGAAAATAAGGAATCTATTGATGATGCAGATAATGGTGCAGTAATGGACATTTCAGAAGCATATCCTGTGCAGGATTCAAATCCCTCTGTACCAGAAGGAAGACGTAATATTGGTAACGTGTCCAGCTCAGAGCAAGAAAATATTGTGCTAAATGCACATGAAGTTGTGACAATACCAGATGATCAGGAGCCAGATCCTGTAGATGATGCCCATAGTCCAGAATCAAATGAAACACTACTGGTACTGTCTAGCTGCGAAAATAAACGTCAGCTCGAACAAAATTGTGGTCCACGTGCTATTAGTCGAGAAAGCTATGGTGACTCGTATTCAGAAAATAACTGGAGCAACACGATGAACCAAATTGTACCAGATGTTACTCAAAATCACCGGAAGACAGAATTTTATATTGAGTCAACTTATCCCATTTCTAATGACAGTGTACCAGATATTGATTGTCAGAATAATGCATATGATTTTGATGAAACTTCTTATAACAATGAGGGAAATATGTCAGCTGAGTCGAATGATGGCCAAAAATCTAATTTAATTCTGTTAGACGTTGACTTTCTTAATGACTCGTTATCTGCTAACGAGATTCATAATGAATTTGAAAATAATGAACTCAGATCAAAGGTCGTTCATCATCATCTAGTCATTCTTAGTGGATTCTCCAGTCAATACGAGAAACATGGTTTAAATAAAGTCCTACTAGTTGTAATTTGGAGCCATAAGGACCCAACATTATTTCGAGGAGGAGGAGAATGTTGAGGAATTTAAAGTCACATATAATTCTTTTTTTTCTTTTTAATCAGAATCTAAAGTTGGAATTTTCAAAAACAAAATGGGGGAGGTGTTATATCCGAGTGGAGATTAAATTACAGGTAATCTCCGAGGACTATTCATGGACTAATATTCTATAATTATTCTTATTGTATAACTACTCAACAATTACATTATGTATATTTATATCCCTCTTATGACAAGCTTTATTTTGGCCTATAATTTATTATTGTACGATTTACGGTTCTTAAGTTATGTTCAGTTTATTAACTACTGCCTCCCACATTCACAGCCACTTTTTGGGCTTATTTGTGTACAAATATTATTTCCTATTTTATGGTACGTTGCGGTCTGTGTGATTGATATATAAACCAAGTATGTCTGAAATAAACGATCTGCTCTGGTTCGAAGCTGGTATTGTGTTCTGGATTCAAGTGGAAGGGCTCGTAGGACATAGGACCAATAAGGACGCTAAACTGCCCACACCGGTTGAACGTCATTGGTTGGCCTAGTGTGAAGATTCGTATAAGTCGTATTCGGATTGGTAGATAAGTCGTGTGATCGAAAAGTCAGACATCCAAGGTCATAACATCCCCCATTAGTAGTTGCACAGATGACGTGAACCTTTTAGAAAGACAGGGAAAACTATCGACTCATTCAAAGATGCTGCAGCACAACAAATTATGCTTTAAATGATAAAATTTGACAAAAAGGTAGATACGAAACTTTACTTACCTGTAGTACTTCATTTTCTAAGTGAGCTTTTTCTTCTAAAGCATCTTGAAAATCCTGCCTGGAAGCGAATAATTCTCGAGTTAATATTTCAGCTTTATCTTCTAACTGAAATATACAAAAATAAAATAATAGAAATTAATATATTTTCATTTTAATAATAAATTTAATCTTTGTTAAAAATAACAAGGAAGTGATCGTTTAATGGTTTTAAACAGTTAGACTTTTTAACGATTTTTAATGACAAGTTTTAATGTAGTTCGAGCAGTGGCCAATAGTCAGCACAAACGATATAGTACAATGACAATTATACATAAGTATATACAAAATAATTATAAGTATTATCAATGAAATCGAGTAGTTATTAAAAAGGAAATATTATAGAATTTATCGAACATCAGAAGAAATCTTCAAAAGAAAAAAATAGATTTGTATAAATCCTACATAATATTATCTGAATTAAATATTTATAAACCGTCTGTCTTACTATCTATGTAAACATGATATCAAATTCAAACAACAATAGATATTTTGACAAAGAAACATAATTAGTGTATTCAAATGTTAACAGAGAAGTTGCACATATGAATTAAGGATAAATACAATGAATAGTACAATGATAACCACCGATCAAAGTGAACATTTTTATATTCCCATGACACATCCATTTGATATATAACCTAATATGTCACGATAATAATAGTCTGGATAGTAGAATATCATCTAGGATAGCATACACTTACTCTAGAAAAATAATAAGGGTGATTATACTGAAACCGACATTGCTGTGTATTAATAACCAGTAATTTTCAACACATTCCTTAGCCACTTTTCTCTGAAGTCCGAGTTCAACAAGATTCACCCTTACGTAGAAACAATTACCCTTTAACACTGTGAATAAATCACCCAGGACTAAATACCAGTGACGCCTGTTGGAGCGACTAAAGTAGAGTTTCCTTCCATGAATCTACGTTCACAGAATTGCTCTATTTGAAACAGGTTGGGTCCACCGTACTCAGACCTCATTGATTCAATCGTTTGCAGTTATATGATGTTCCTCTAAACACCATATATAACTTGGCGAAACAATTTTATGCTCTTAAAGACTATCTTGAGTTACTGAATCAGCTTTCCAATAGTTTTCAGCCTGATTTACCTCATTGCTTAGCTATGCAAGCAAAGCTTAGCCTGAGGCTAAACTGATTCTCCGTTCCTAAACACCAGTACAATATGTACTATAGTCTCAGGTTGACAAGGAACTCTATCTTCTTTAGCAACGCTTTCCGTACTTTGCATAGGGAGCAAAGCAGCAATGCTGAATATTGTTGATACCAACCTCGAGGTAGAAGCATCACCAATACCTGTTTCAGTATAATCCCCTATTTCTTATCCCTGACACCCTCCATCCATTATCTTTCAAAATTTAATGTATGTAATCCTAGCGATTCAAGTACTATGTTAGTACATCATCAAAAACCTGTTCATATACTTTTGAATCACACATTTTCTTACTATGAAAACGTTAGGATAACTTTTCCTGTTTTAGATTTGCATGAACTTATTTATTACTTATTTTAACCACATGTTCTCAATCATTTCCCTAAAAAGCTGCCAATATATCTGAGAATTACTGAGAAATTCAAACACGACCAACCACAAGGCTTGCTGGTACATTTCCTCGTATTTTCTAAGGAAACAAGAAGACTGAGAATGGGATTCATGAACCACGTGTATTATGCGATAGAAGATTTCATAGCTACGAAACTTGTCGGAAATGTTTGTAAATGCCGACAAATAACAACTAATCACTGTTGTGATAAAATTTTAGTCCGTTTTTCCTCATAAATCGATATCAAACATGGAACTGTTGCAATACTGGACATTCTGTGCTGAGAGATTGTGCTGTGATCAAATATATGATATTATTATTATTATCTTTGAGTTTCGTGCAAAAACTGTGTTGTTCACTTTGATGTGTATTGATTCGATATCATGTAACTTAGTTTTACCACTTGAAGCAACCCTAAAAAGTATTGTTTCGTTTATTTGCTTGTAAGCGACTCGAACACAATTGAATATACAAGAGTATGTAAACATCGAAACATTCATAGGAAACCAACAAAAGGAAAAACGATACAAATAGTTCCCGAGAAATACGGAATGATAAAACAATCACATACTATAGGTTGACTTGAGATACTTAAGCAGTAAGAGCAAGGAACAGACATTTAATGTTCGGTTTTACAGAATATATATTTACACAAATTGGAAGTTAAGCAAATTTTATATGATAAAGAGAAGTATTATATATTCATTGCTATATTAAGTATATGAACAGATTAAACATGACGTTATTTTATTTATATACTAGTCTTCTACGATTAAATATATCTGTCTGATACTTCATAAGAATCTAATTTGGATAGGAAAGCAACAAAAAATAGTTTTATATAGGGAAAGAATTTTAACAATTAATCTGTGAACTAAAAATGGACATTAAGCTCATTCGAATGTAAAATTTCTCGAAAAATCTACACAACATTCAATACAAATAACTAACCGTAAATTGTAAAAAACTGGTTAGAATTATTGATAAAATAAATAACAAATTACCCGGTCAACTTGTTTGTGCATTAATGTTTTACTCGATAAAAGACCGGTAGCCAGTGATTCATTCTCGTGTTCTAATCGAGAAACTTCTCGACGTAATGATGCCAACTGACACTCCATGACATGTAGAGGAGATTCGGTCAATTTTTCTTGAGCTCTCTTTGTTATCCATTCTTTAGCATATTTTTGTAATTTGGCGGAAGTAACCTTTGAAGAAATGTAAGAGAATAAAGTGGATGGAGAATTTTATCGAAACTTCTAACCGTACGGTTAAGTGAAGAGTACAATTTGGTGATCAAAAGTACAAGATCTTCTGCAGATACGGTACTATCATTACGAGATAATATGGAACACATTAAAAACATTAAATCGTGAAGTATCTGTATAAAATACTAGATCTATTTACAATAAAAGTGAATATTGTTACGTCATCTACCTGATTACGGCAGAATACGATATACAACTAACGGCAGTTGAACGTGTAGAAACCCACAGTCGCAAATCAGAAGACGGAAGAGGCATGGGAAATGATTATCGAGTAAGAACCAAAAATGTACAGAAAACATGGGTATTTATAGTTATTGGTATTGGCTATAACCTCATTGTAATTCAGTCAATATGCAATCAGATAAGTTATGCTATCGTCCAATCATAGCATGCCACGTTGATATTCTAATGGGCTCTATCAGATCCTGATTGGATGGAAACTCTAGAGTCTACATTGTGCTTTTCGAAACCGTCCTAATATATATAGCTATGTACAACAACATACGATAAGTTACAAAACAGATAACACCTGTGTCGAAATCGCAAGGGCAGATAATCGAAAATGAGAACGAAGTACACAAAATGGAAATTAATACAGCAGAACAAACGTCCAACAATTTCATCGAAGTTGAAAACGACTGTTACAAATGCTAATGAAATGCTATCACTAGTAAGTAATTCTAATGTCACAAGTTTATGTAAATATTTGGAAATACTAAACAACACCAGATACACGTCGAACATCATGTTCTCAAAAATCATTAAAACTGACACTGGTTACTGAACATTAGTAAGTACTATAAAGTAATAAACAAAAGAGAACAAGATAAGAAAATAAAGGAAAGAAAAAACATTTAAAAATGGGTTTTGATTTCTTTTGAAAGAGAAATTCCGATCATTAGTAAGGTGTATCGACCTAAATAATCATATAAAATCTGTCTTTTTTCACATAACTGACAAGACAAAGCTATTTTTTACTAGCAAACTTAGGACTCCTGGTATATGTCTAAATGGTAAAAGTGGAAATGGTACACGAAATACCTGTCTTAATTTGAAATAATCTGAGCAAACAAATTAGGTACTTTGGAGAAAATATATTTACGTAAATAAAAACCAAAAGAGTTCATTATTGTCATTTTGAACACCGAAGGTATCTGGCTATTTGAATTTAGTAGCTAAGTGAATGAAACTAATGGAGTTTGATGCGGATGGTACAAAATTAGTCTCGTGGAGGACATCACCTTTGGTATCCAGGTCCATCACCCTGACCAGTACCCAAAAGGACGAGACGTGAGCCCTGGATCCTACTGCTAGACACATCCCATCTATGCTAGACTAAAGGTATTATGAAATATGACAAATAGAAGTGTTGACAGAACCTACGATGAATACAGTAGATTAACTTAATTGTTCTTGTCAAATTACCATCTTAATAATGCTGGATAGACAACAAACTGTATGAAAATAACAAATTATTCTAAGTTTCAGTGAGTCACGTACTATCATAAATTACTTGTCTGGACAAGTGTTACTTAAGCTATATGAGCACATCAATTAGTAGAAATAATAATCATCATGATCGATTGGACTACATCGGACTACTGCTGACAAAACTACAATTACCCTAAAGATTTGATTATGCAATATATGAATATTCATTTAGAAATCACACACTATGAGAAAACATTATTGTGGATTGTAAGGCTAGGATAATATTTTATTATGAAAAATAACACGTACGAAGTAAGGAACAGCGAGCAATTCGACAATTATATGACTGACGTTCAATGGATAGATTACACAATTAACATTATTCATTCTCTTAAAATCAGAATTAGATAGGGGTATAGTCATTAATAGTAGAAGATTAATTTGTCTTAGTTGAGATGTTCATCTCAGCGAAACCTGGATATAAGTTGGCAAACACGGTGATGGAGAGTAAGTAGCTGATTACGTGAGAGAATACCGACATTAGTGAAATCAATGTAAAAGTGAAGCTTAAAAATTTAATATTATGAATAATGATAATACCACGATAATCATTATGACCATCAACCCAAAAACTAAGCAACTCCGTAGAAGTTTTCTTACTTATTGATGACTTAATAATCTTTTGAAAGACAAGAGGTATTACTACTCGACTGTTCAAATGTTGGTTTGTAATTGGAATTTAAAAACCAAAACTACAAATTGGATTTTGAATGCCTAAATAAATGAGAAAAAGTGTAAATAATGAATAGTAATTCTATGAAAATATATTCATAAGAGTAGAGAAAATACATATACAGAAAAGTAAGATGAATCTATTGAAGAAATAGGGGAAGAATATGAAATGTCAATAAAATAACTCAGTAGAATTGAATTTAAAACTCGATACAAAAATAAGTAAATTAGATGAGTATCGTACGCGAATTGGATGAGGAATCATATGACGTAGATAAAAAACTGATATAACTTAATCATCTATCTAAACGAAATCTAACAATTGACGCTAATATTTTGATTAAAGGAACCGGTTACCTCAGCAAACTTATAAAAGTGACAAAGTGGAGTGTAGACGTCTTAAAAAATTAATTATGAATTGATGTAGAAGAAACTTTATACAGCTTAGCTTAGTGCAAAGAAGTTATACGAAGAACTCTATACCTCAGTTTCATCCCTACAAACACACTAACAAATCAAGAGGTTAGGCCACAGCTGTGAGATTGCAGTAGTGCTACTCATGGGTAACCGGTATTTTGTTCCATAATTTCACTTTTGTCTTTTATTGGTTAACTGTAAATTAAATGTCTTCTTGGTGGGTGATAGACTCGTTATTTCTCCGGAAATATTGAACTGATAATTTTTGTGCTTGTTTGTGAGAAGAAGTTGATCGCTGTTGCTGGAATTATCACATTGAATGTGAAACTTGACTTTAAGCTGGTTATCGTTTACTGAAGAACCATTTATCACTTATACACAAATACCTCGAGAGCCAAAGATAGCCTTTTGAATTTAATCGACTTCAGGTAGATTGTTCCGTTGAATCTAACAGATTTTTAATACATATTTTATGATTACGGCAGTAGGAAGCTATATTATCATGTAAAGTTGCTAAACCTGGTGATAAAAATCTATTCCTTAGTTAATCAGAAAATTCTACGATGGAGAAGTAACTGTTGAACAAACAGGATTCAACATTTATTGTTATGAATTATAGAAACAAAGTGGACTGAATGAAAGGGAATAATAATAGATAGGATTCCTAATGTAAGCAGATCAACCTAAACTATTTTAGCTTTTAAACACATCATTTAAAACATCGAAAAACATAAAATTCATTAATGGAATCTCTTTTCAAGTTGTACAGTCGTATCCTGTGAATAAATATAAATAATGAATAAACACGATGATGTAATAAAAAGATCATAATCTCGGATTATATAGTTTCAAATAATAATAGTAAAATGTTATGTTACTACTACACGATATGTATATATAAATGGAATAGATAGAATATAAATGAGAATAGAAATGATCCAAAAGGAGTAATACAAAAGTGCGATAAATTTATGTTGATTTAAACAAGGTTACAGTAAAAAATTACTCATCACATTAGTACAACAATACTACACAATATAATTTGAAGACAACAAATGACAGGATGATATGAATGGTATTTACTTATAAAAAAGTATCATATTATCATAAATAAAGCTATAGAACTTCGAATTAATAGAAACAAATATTAAAACACTTGACCTTAGATATAAATGAATGTGATCAAAAAAATAATAAATCGGTGCGGATAATGACACGGATAATGTCTATAAAATAAACAGTCAACGAAACATTTACTAATCACTTAAAATGTTTAAGATAATAAATATGGACATTTTCCATGATACAGTCGATAATAAATCGTCTTTACTTTAACACTAGGAGCAAATTATTTTCTCAAATCAACAGTTCCTCTTAGTATCTTTGAAATATCACTTAACCAGGAACTTAGAATAACCAGGATTCTAAAGAATGAGTTTAACATCATTGAGATGGCAACCAACAGTGATTTCTGATAACAGTCACCAAACAAATCATATATATGGTATAATTGCTAAGTAACTAAACTATGTATATTCATATTCCACTTATTACAAGCTTTACTTTGACCTATGAACTTAATATAGGATTTACCATTCTTAAGTTATGCCCAGTTTATTAATTACAGTCTTCCACGTTCACAGTCACCTTTGGCTAGATTCTTGTACCAATGTTATTTTCCATTTATAGTGTGATGTGGTTTGTTTGGCTTGCACATAAACCCAGTATATTTGAAATACATAATTCATATCACGGAAACTGAGATTTGTGTTTTGAGCTTAACAGGCAGGGAAAAGGACCAATCGGGACTACAGGCTGTTCGTTTAGGTGTATACGTCATTTGTTGGTCGTATAAGTCCGTGTATCTAAATTTGGCAACCGTATTCGCGATAATCGTACAAGCTAAGGTAATAACACCTTGGACACAAACATCGTGCTAGTTGATACTCATCAAGATGTACGTGAAGAGGATTTGAATGAGTAACAACTAGAAGTAAACCGAATTTCGAAGTTTCAAGTTAATCATCTTCAATTATTTAATATCATGAAATCACTTGTTGTTATTATATCCAGCTATAACTGCACCTCTATTATTTAAATAATAAACCATAAGAGTTGTTCAAATGAATGATTTTATAGAATCATTGTCAATGTCGTCAATTCCTTTAAAACCATTGAAAACATTTTGTTCCATTCAATGAAAGATTTTCTTCACATATTAAATATATCATTTTATTAAACTAGATGCTTGTTTTCCAAACTCACTTTAGCCGATAATGCAATACTAAGTAATTCTTGATTAGCATCATGGGCTAAATATTTTTTTGGCATCGTAACACGCAAATGCTTGAGAACACCTTCAAAGTCCAAACCGAGTAAGTCACGTCTAGCCAATTGCAATAGTGCTAAAGACACTTTGAATATGAATATCAAACCCTATAATAAACATAGATAAAGGATCATTTTTAAAATACAAATGAAACATCATAAAAACATATACTACTATAGTGTGATAACCTTGACTAATAGAAAATAGTATACCTTTGTCTTCAAAGAAACAGAAAAATACTGGAGGGAAAAGTTCATATTATTGGGAAAAAGAGGGATGTAACTATCAATTCTTGTATATTATTGGCGAAATTAGTGCAATTTAGAAGTAATTCAATGCTTTATGAATTTATCCAAACAATATAATTCCTAAGTGTGACATGCTTTATAACATTTGTTTAAAACAATCAGTCCCTTTAATAAATTCGGATAGTTCACTTGGTATTATTTACTTGAATCTTCCCATTGATGTTTAGGACTGCAATTTATCAGTCTCTTATTGGTATATGTGCATACTGTGTGTATTGCCGCGATATGACCTTAATCCACAAGCATTATAAGCAAAGATGGATAGTGGCCAGCAGTGGATAGATTCATCTTGGAATCTAATTGTAATATATTTCTATGTCTCTTTGTAATATCCTCTTGTCCTAGTTATTAACCGTTTTTCGATCGTCGATAAAACTTTGAGTGCTTAAGTTCATATGATCAAGTATCTAGAATCTAGCGTATGACATACAAAACACATTTCCCTCCGTTATACCATACGGAAACGATGTTATAAATATGTAAAACATTAAAGGTATTACGTACTTTTAAAAAATTTATAGTATTTATACATTTAAAAAAGAAATGACCATGTATTTAAGTACAACATACCTCAGTTAGAAACAGATCAACAATATGAAAGACAACATTTAATGGAAATTTAGCAGTGAACAATGTTAAAAACCATTGACTAGCGAACATGTGAGTTTCTAAGCCAAGATCACTAAAATGTTTTGCTACATCTGGCAATTGATCCTAATTAGAAGGAAAAATGATCACAGCAAGTGAAGTGTGTTTATTATTGCATCAATTCAACCAAAAACAAATCAAAATTACAAAAGCTGATGTAATAATTTATTCACAGTTTAAACGCTCATCTAAAACAGTCTCACTCTGTAGCTCATAGAAAAGAAGTAATACTTTCTATACTCAAAGTTTATATTTGGTTATAAATAATTTATTGCAACCGTTGGACGATTGATTTCTCATCGTGGTGAGATTACTTCAAGATGTTACATGAATAGTGGTAATACTTATTTATTTAATTTAACACATAGATATTGGTACAAGGAGGCACCAAATACATATGCGCCACACAAATCTCATTCGATATGTGTGAGGGCTGTGATACTGCACGGGTGCCCAAACCGAAGCAGGTGGTTATCTTAGGGGGCCACTCCCCGAGCCTTTGACCTGAAGGTTTGACCCACAAGGCAGTGGAGCATCGTAAGGAGATGCAGTCCCATGGAAGCAGGTGACCAATAATTGGTTCTTACGCCATTTGTTCCCGCAGGATACTGGAGCCCATGTGCATCATTGGTTTGGAATCCGGTTAAAGTGCCGGACATTCGCTTTTCGTCCTCTCATTTTCGTAAACAACACCCCCGCCACGAGAAGGCAGTGAGTAGGACTTCCCTGGCAGAGGCTATATACGCGTGGCCATGTGAGAGGATTTGGAGAGGGAGAGCGGACTCTTCCCACTCTCGGCCGTACCAGGGCATTTGGGGGCAGTGGTAATACTGAGTGAATAAAAAGTTCTCAACATACAATTATATCAAATTATTTATATTTTTATCATCACAGCGACACTGTTAGCTATAAAATCTAAAATAAGTGAACTACCATTAGATGTATATTTAAAAAAGTCATTTTTATTTTATGCAAATTATTTACCAAGTAAAGATGATTTATCTACTCAGTTTCGAGACATTCACCAGTTCACGTATGAGAGCTAGTGAAACTATTCCGTTGGCAAAAGTAAGTTAGGTATACAGTGGGGTTAAAGTCTGAGATCCAATTAATTGGGAATCGACTGACCTAGACACCAAGTCACACACATTCAATAATGAAAATTAGAAAATAAAAACAAAATCATATTTTGTTGAAATGATGAACCGATCAAAGTTAGACAACCACTGGGAACCTGGAAAGATTAGGCGGTCGTTTCATTTAACTACATGAACGCCCACAGTCCCACAAGCAGGACTCGAACCCAGGATCTTCTGTCTCGTGCGTGAACGTTTAACCAATACATGGACGAAACATCCGTCCAATGCTTCCAGGCTTTTAATGGTTGTTTTACTTTAGTTTGTGATTACAATGAAATTAAAAAAATTCCACGACCTCAAAAAGACAATTATATTTTACCTGAATAATACGATCCAATTGATATAATCGCATATGTAATCCATCGAAATCATTCAAGAAAAATTCTCTAACTCCATAATTGTTATTCACTTGTACTAATAATGTGAATGCTTGTTCTACTGGCATCTGAAACAAAAAGACAGAATATTCATAAAGAATAATTATGAAAAATTATTCAATTTAAGAAAACAAAGATGAAAGAATTCAATTTATTTGAGTGTCATCTATATTAATAAAATCATCTATAAGTTGTACCCAAAGATACACATTAATACAATTGAGATATTGATACCATTGTGAAATAATAATAATAATAATTAATAGTATTACAATCTAATTTCATATGCTTAGATAATTCTCTTAGATTAAACACATGATTTTAGAGCAAAAGGTACTTAAAAAATGTACAATATTTCGGACACAGTATAAAATAAATCCAATATCACACTTATGAAATATATTTCATGCTAATTTTTAGAAGTATTATACAACCATTCATTCGTAGTATGACGGCTCAGCTTCCAAAATTTGTAATGAAAGATGTTTGCAGATTGGTAGATTAGTAGATGTATGGCCGATCGATTGTAATATACAACGATACGATATGACGAAGTGATGGTTCCTCACTAGATCAAATTATTATTATGAACCGCCAATTGAACATGCATCACTAGATAAGGTCAGATGCTCAGCAGAAGACATTTCTTTCCAATAAAAATAATATTCTTTGTACAACGCATTGACACAAAAACATGATTTTGTTGGTCACTTATCATCCAATGAGTTAAGGCATGACTATCTATCTATTATTGCATCATCGAATCACAAAGTTTACCAAATTCAATTATCAAGTGTGAGTTGATGTACTCGGTTTGGAGTGATACTAAATGTGATTGCTAATCATATCACCCAGTTGAGCGAATCAAAGTAGGTAGAATAGGGTCAAAGCTCGAAATATATTGGTTGGAGGTTGAGAATTTTAATCGATTTTTTAAAATTATCACTGTTACCATGCTTTACCAACAAATGAATGGCAAAATCTAAATTTATTTATTTATTTGAACACATAAATATTGATATAAAGGGGCACCAAATACATATGCGCCACACAAGTCATGCTTTGAGTATGAGTTGTGATACTGCCCAGGCGCCCAGACCGAAGCAGGTGGTTTTCTTAGGGAGCCATACCCGGAGCTTCTAACCTAAAGGTTTAATCTACAAGGCAGTGGAGCAACGTTAGGAGATGCAGTCCTATGGTGCCGGTGGCCAACAATTGGTTCATACGCCATTTGTTCCCTCAGGATCCTGGAGCCCATGTACACCATTGGTTTGGAATCAGGGTCTTCCGACTCCCCTAGGCGGACCCTCCATACACACCAACACTGTTAAAACGCCGAACATTCGCTTTTCGTTCTCCCAATTTTGTAAATAACAGTAATGCCGCGAGAAGGCAGTCAGTAGGACTTTCTTAGCAGTGGTTATGTACGCATGTCCATGTGACAGCATTTCGAGAGGTTGAGCTGCCTCTCCCCACCATCGGTCGTACCAGGGCACTTGGGGGGCTCTAATGTAAATTTGACGATGAAAACTTAGTACTAAAAGCACCTTGCTAATGCTATTGAATGTCAAGACTATGAATCTGTTTGGATGTAAGTAAGCTAGAATGATTTATTACACAGTCGCCATGATAATCTAAAGAAATCACAAACACTATTTTATGAGTAAACAAGGAAAACTTACATGAAGTAATAATACAGCGGCAAAAAATGTTAAACCTTGACAATAACCAACTTCTTCATCGTACAAAGCATAAGCACGACTAACAAGAAAGAGACTTTCCTGTCCAATTTTATCACGGAAGAAACTATGAGCTGGAAATGTGCGTGCTAAATCACGACGTATAACTTCATCATGTTTACATGGCTACAAGAAAAAAAACAATATTCATTTGAGAAAGGCGGTTATATAAAGTGTTACTATGAATCTTGTTGTACTAAGATAGAGAGAATATTTAATCTTGGCGCTCAAGTCAATCGGCGATCAATAAACACATCCAAATCTGTCTAATCAATCAATCAGATAAATCATGGACAAATATAGGACCAAGAATCAGATCAAAAGTAAGATACAATCAAAATAACGAGGCAGATAATTACTGGTTTGAGGTCAACAATAGCCAATAAAGATCGAGGTAGTTAGGACAAACTGTGAGTCTGATGTTGAGAAATTCAAATACTTTACTTTTACCGGAAGCCTGTCCTGATGTTGTTCAGAAGAACAATAAAAGCTCCACGTCCAAACCACCCAGATTAAAGAAAACCCCACCAAAATCTAAGAGGTTACAGATGAAAAACAGTGGGTTAGAAAATATTGGAGTTATTAGGAAGGAGAAAAACATGTAACTCTGTAATTTGGTTATATTGGTTAGCAAAAGCAGTCATCTGAGTGCCGACCGTTTGCGTGGTAATGAGAAATCAGTGGATGGTTCTTATTCTTACTATTTGGGTGTGATTGGTAATTTTTATCCGCTAATATAAACAATACGACCAATGAAACTATACCGCTGTTCAAACAGAAACATAAAGAGAACGGTTTGATTCTGTAAGATATTGGATGGAAATTAAACGCTTGACACTAAACAGACCAAAGTATTCTTTTGTTGAAGGAAAAAAAGTACAACAGAAAAAAATAATGAAACAATACTACTAGAGTAGCTTACTTTAGTAATGAGAATTCGATAAGCATCCATCAATCCACTTTCATCAACAGGACAACCAGATAATAACTGCCAAACTTCAGCTCGTAAGGCATCTGGAATACCACGGCTAACTAGTTTCCTAATTCGTTGACAAAATGCAGAACCTAAATGAGAAATATGAGGACCAGAACAACCACTATACAATAATTCAATTCTCAAACAATATGTAGATAAGCCGAGACCATTAGCTTGATCTTGTCTGACTTTATTATGCCATTCAGTAACTAAATGTCCCCATTCAAGAAGTAGCTGATCATCTGTAACTTCTCTCGATACAATTCCATTACCGCTCATCAGTGGTTCATTGTCACTATCTAAAATGAAATTTAGTTTATGAGATCAATTTTGTTTTGCAGGTTTTGAAAAAAAATTAGTTTTTACGAATAAGTTAATAAATGAAAAAAATAATTGAGTTTGGGAGCTGCATCGTGATATTACTTGGTCAGTACATCAGATAAATAGTGAATGGTAATGAATATACCAATATTTATACTGGATCTATAGTACTTTATTTTGATATATTTCATCATTTAGTTTTTATGGTGTGTTAGGAAGCCAACATAAAACTGTGAATTTAAGCAAAAATCAGATTTAAGTGTTGTATATGTTCTCATAAGTAATGGTAATTAAATATATCTATCTGTGTATACAGAATTCACTCAAAAGAATCATATGGAAAACTCCATAGATTATACAAGTTGTGTTGTAGATCATATGGATTCTCCATATATCATGTCTATTCTGATAATAACAATCCACTGAACATTTTTATCAAGTTTGACAAGTAGTTACGAAAATAAACACTGAAGAATCAACGGATGAATATTAATTTTCAGCTTTTCTGGCTACTCAAAAAAAGCAAACAACCACATTAATTCTCAAAATAACTACCTTATAGAACAAGAGGTATGAATTCACGAAGAAACTAAACTCTTCAACAATTCTTCAATCTTATCATTTCTTTTACACCAGTAATTGTAATGCCTACTGAGGTCATTGTTAAAAGTCACAGCTGTTACTACTGAACTAAATAGCATGCTGTCATCACCGTAGGATTTAATGAGAGATTAAGACTAGAAACATGGATCAATAATCAAGATATTATTCACAGCACAAAATAGATTTTAAAAAATCTTTACAAGTGTAATAACTATTGTAATAGAAAAAATTATCATGTCGTAATGTACTTTTTTTGCTGTCCAGTATAATTTAGTTGCAAGGTAAAACTGAAAACAGTGCTCTCTACAAAGTTTTAGTGGAAAAAACAAACATCGAATGATCAATAAAAAATTTCTGAATTGTGTGTGTGATCATTGGAATGAAGGTTAAAAGAGAAAAAAATAAGTTAAAATGCTTTAAGCGAATATTTCAGTGATTTTAGCTCAGAACAAACATGAAGGCGCAGCACAGAGAGAGACAGTAAATAATATCACTAAACAACGGCAAAAAATCAAACAAATTGCTTCACACAGAAATTCAACTAATAATGTTGCTTGTTTATAATAAGACTGAATAAGTATTTATATTCAACGGAAGTCTAGCGACATGATGTTTTACTAGTTCTATTTACTATATTAAAAAACGACTTTGTAAGTAAACGAGATTCAACATATATGACAAATCCGACAAAACAAAATTAGAATATTGATAATTGGGGTAAGAGGAGTTATACATAACAGATTTGGTGGATCTTTTAGTAAACTTCAGATGATCTTGAATTTTCGTAAAAATCAAACTAGAATATAATTCATTGTATTTCTAGTAACGTGAGACAATTAAGTAACACTACCTTCTTGTTCAATTTAAGTATAAGCTTAACATCATTATAATTTATTACACAGTGTCATGTCTTAAATTAACTGTCCTCCAGCGAAGCGAAATGAAGCGCGGTGGAGAAGTCATGTGAGCCAACTCCATTTGATCAAGCGTTAATCAATATTTATAGCCAGATAAAAATAAGCCACAGACATGTGATGAATGTGATAAGAAGTGTACACACACATATGCTCGTATAGTATAAAATCAGTCAGGGTTGATAAGTTAATGATTAACAAGGTCAAAACGTGACACAAGTAGGATGGATAAACTGGCCTGTCCAGAAGATAGAACAAATCATATGGGCTTAACATAGTAACTGAGACTACATGTCAAGTATACATTTTCCGGAGTTGAAGGATAGAGCCTCTGATCCCAGTGTGAGGTTAATTGACTGGTGCCAGCTGTTGAACTCCCGACGGATGTCACTGAATCCGCAATTTTCGTCCCATATCGTAAAAGTATCATATATATATGTCTTGTATATATGGGAACAGTCGACTATTTATCAAAGTACGGTATTCTCCGATTATTTTATGAAACAGTCATCTATAAGTGACTCCATCGATGCTTCAACATTGTCGATCATAATCATTATGAAACCTGGACTTTACGTTGAAGTAGTTACCATAGATAGTATTCCGGGACACGAATATCGTTGGTTTTTACTTTTGACATAGTCATATAATAAATATCTTCACGAATGAGACATTTTTGATAAGTAAATCAAAATTAAGTAATACCTTTCGATTTTCGGACATATTGATGTTAATTACTGAATCAACAGAATCTATTAAGCTGATGTCTTACTCGTAGCAAATTTTTAGACAAGTAGCACTTGCAAGGTATAGAGAACTATTTATATGTAGAAAAGAGTATGAGGAAACATCTTTATTATGCATGTTTGAGAAACCATATAACTGTGGAAGGACAAGATCCAGACGGTTCAAGGTGTCCGAAAAGGTCAAAACTGATAATTTGTTTATTGAATCAGCACACAATTCTTTTCATAGGATGCATTAGTTGTGATTTGTATTCTCCTGACAATAGTTGCTTAGTTTTTGATATTCTTACTTGTGCATTTATTACAAAAGTGTACATGGGCCATTTTCAAATGCTCGAAATCTATGTTACAGACTAAGAAATTACTTGTCTGACAAATTACTACGATTTTTACAGATGGCAAAACCTCAAGAAATCAGGGTAATCAGACGTTAAGGCATTAAATAAAAAATCTGTATGACATCAAGGCTGCCTTCGATTCTTTGCACAGGACTGTTCTCTGGGATTGTCTATCGGAAAAGGGTGTGCCTGAGATTTTTAACAGCTTGAAAGCCTTCAGACAGAGTGAGGACATACAACCACCTCTTTCCACTGTTCCATTCAAGCAATAAGGTTGACCAATCTAATCCTTCCTCTTCAATTTAGCCATTGATGACATTCTGGAAACAGCTCTGATGGATGTAAGTAATGGTGGTGTGGATCTGTTGTCTGGAGAAAGATTCCTCGACTTTGAGTATGCGGATGATATTAGCTTACTGTGCGATAATACCCAAACCATGCAATTCGCACTTAATCAGTTGGCAATAAGTGTCCGTAGGTATGGTATGTGCTTTGCACCTTCGAAGTGCAAACTACTTCTACAAGACTGGCAGGATCCTGATCCTGCACTCACCCTGGATGGCAAGCAGATAGAAGTAGTCGAGAAGTTCGTGAATCTGGGTAGCTGTGTGAGTGCTGGAGGTGGCGTGAGTGATGAGATCAATGCACGTATAGTGAAAGCCAGAGTGGCTTATGCCAATCTGGGCCACCTTTGGCGCCTTCGTGATGTTACTCTGAGTGTAAGACGACGCACCTAAGATGCGTCGGTCAGAGCAGTTTTGCTCTACGCTTGTGAAACCTGGCTTCACCGAGTCGAGGATGTTAGACAACTCTCTGTGTTTGATCATCGTTGTCTCCGAAGGATTGCTGACATTCAGTGGCAACACCATGTTAGTAATGCAGAGATTCGGCATCGTGTGTTCGGGCGCAGCGACGATAATTTAGTTGGTGTCACCATCTTGAAACATCGAATTCGATGGCTTGGATATGTTCTACGAATGTTATCTTAGAGAATTCCACGTCGTGCATTATTTTCTGACGCTCGGACTAGTTGGAAAAAGTGGAGAGGTGGTCAGTGTATGACGATGTGTCGTGGTATGAAAGAAAGCTGCAAAGGATTGGCATCTGTTGGACCTTCACGACTCCCTGGTTGGGGTCCTAGAGACGTTGCAACACAGTGGGTAGAGACGTTATCAGATATGGCTCAGAATAGAAGCCAGTGGCGATCCTGCTGTAACCTTCTTTTACTTTCTTCATAAAAAATGGACGTTACTTCTTTATCTGGAAGAATTCTTTCTGGTTGTACCTTTTATAATTGAACTGCTCCTCCCATTATTATTATTTCACTATCACACACTAATTTCTGTTCGTGTTGGTTCTCATTTTTCTTATACACATCTTACATTCTTTATCTCTTCACATTCTCACTGTTATTGTGTTGCCCATATGTATTTGGTGCCCCTTCATACCAATATTTGTGTTCAAATACATAAATAAAATAACAAGATAAACAAATAACACAAAAGAACAAAATAAAGTGAATAAGAATATGATGATACGATGTTTATCGTTAAACATAAAAAAATATTTGTATACTAATATGAATGATTTTCAACAAAGTACGATAAGTTTTGAAATAAGTTATCAAATTTCATATTTGCCTGCATGAATTGAACGTACAGTCAATGGCTACTATAAAGCGGTGACAAATTTGAGTAGATTTAAGAGAAAATTTCTCTCACTTAATCTTATCCAAATTAAAATGAAGCAGTGAAATAACAAGTCAACCAACATAAATGATACATACTCCGTTTACTTTATTTGATAAATTTATTCAAGTTTACCAATTAATCTACACATTCTATATAAAGATTACCGCCCTTACTTTACTACTCGATAATAAATCAAATGCATCAGTGACTAACTACCTGTAATCATTTTATACTATATCGCTTGAGACGTCAACTCCGCCTGTAGCTCTTCTAGAGTTACTGCCCGTCCCAAGCCCAGGTAAAGGAGGAGGGTTGGGCATGGGGATAGCGTCCCCATTCCGTAGAAAACTAACTCGCTAAAAAACGCTAACCAGAAAAAATTATTCAAACAATTTAAACTCTGTCCTGAGAGTTAGAAAGTCTTCATTTAGAAGAATTATGACGCTTCATGGTGAAAGCCGAGTTCCTTCGGAAGCCACGAGGCCGATGCCCCTTCTAACAACCAGAGCAACAATTTTATAGGTACATGGAACGTCCGAACAATGTGGGAGACCGGGAGGACCAGTCAAATAGCAACGGAAATGAGGAGATACAACTTGGCAGTACTGGGAATCAGAGAAACCCATTGGATCCAAGCTGGACAACAAAGGCTAAATACGGGAGAGATGCTACTATACTCCGGTCATGAATAGGAAAATGCTCCACACACTCAGGGAGTTGCTCTAATGCTGTCCAAAGTAGCATGAAATGCACTTGTAGGATGGGAATCTAACGGATCCACAATCATCAAAGCATCATTCAAAACAAAGGAGGAGATCTTAATGAATATTATCCAGTGTTATGCACCCACCAATGATAGCCACGACGACATTAAAGATCAGTTCTATGAGAGGTCGCAATCAATCATAGCGAAGTGCCCAAGAAAGGATCTCACCATTCTGATGGGAGATCTAAACGACAACACCGGATAGGAAGATATCATGGGACGACATGGACTGGGACAGAGAAACGAAAATGGAGAAAGCTTTGCAAATCTGTGAGCATTCAGCAAATTGGTCATAGGGGGCACAATATTTTCACACAAATGTATACACAAAGCTACATGGATCTCACCGGACCACACTACAGAGAACCAGATAGATCATATCTGAATCAATAAAAAATTCCGAAGAACAATGGAAGATGTGAGAACCAGGAGAGGAGCTGGTATAGCTTCAGATCACCATCTAGTTGTGGCCAATTTAAAACTGAAGCTAAAGAAAAACTGGACAACTGGATAAACAACACTACAAAGGTTCAATACAGCCTTCCTTCGAGATACCAACAAAATCAACGAATTCAAGATAGCTCTCAACAACAGGTTCCAAGCCTTACAAGATCTACTGAAAGAAGAAGAAACTACTATGGAGGACAACTGGAAAGGTATCAAAGAAGCATTAACTTCGACGTGTCAAGAGGTTCTGGGTCTAAAGAAGCACCATCATAAGGAATGGATCTCTATAGAAACACTGGACAAGATCAAAGAAAGGAAGAACGAGAAGACAGCAATTAATAACAACTGAACACGAGCAGAGAAAGTCCAAGCACAAGCTGAATACATAGGAGCAAACATGCAAGTGAGGAAGAGCATTAGAGCCGTCAAGAATAAATACGTGGAAGAACTAGCAACGACGGTGGGAAAAGCTGCAAGGGAAGGAAATACGAACCAACTTTACGATGCAAAGAAGAAACTAGCAAGGAAATACAGTAAACCAGAGAGACTGGTCAAGGACAAAGAAGGCAAGCCAATCACTGAAATTCAACAACAGCGGAACAGATGGGTAGAGTACTTCGAGGAACTCCTAAATAGGCTGGTTCCAATGAATCCACCGGATATCGAAGCAGCGCACACAGATCTTCCTATAGATGTCAATACACCAACGACGGAAGAGATCAGAATGGTCATCAGACAAATCAAGAGAGGGAAAGCAGCATGACCAGACAATATACCAGCTGAAACTCTGAAGTCAGACATCGAAGTAACTACAAGCATGCTTCACCTTCTATTCAAGATTTGGGAGGAGGAACAAGTGCCGATGGATCGGAAAGAAGGACACCTCATCAACATTTCAAAGAAAGGAGATCTGAGCAAATGTGAAAACTACAGAGACATCACACTACTGCCAGTACCAGGGAAGGTCTTTTAACAGTGTTGCTGAACTGGATGAAAGATGCGGTAGACGGTCAACTTTGAGATCAACAGGTGGGATTCCCTAAGGATCGGTCATTCACAGACCAAATTGCGACACCATGGGTCATCGTTGAACAATCAGTTGAATGAAACTCGTCACTATACATCAACTTCATTGACTATGAGAAGGCGTTTGACAGTGTAGATAGGAGAACGTTATGGAAAATTCTTCGACACATTCCAAGAAAGAACCGGAGTCAGACAAGGCTGTCTACTCTCTCTCTTACTCTTTCTTCTGGTGGTCGACTGGATTATGAAGACCTCGACATCTGAGAGGAAACATGGCATACAATGGACAGCTCAGGACCAATTAGACGATTTGGACTTCGCAGATGACCTAGCCCTCCTATCGCATACACACGAACAGATGCAGATAAAGACAACCAGAGTAGCAGCAGTTTCTGCATCAGTAGGCCTCAACATACACAAGGGGAAAACCAAGGTCCTCAAATACAACACGGAGAACAGCAATCCAACCACTCTTGATAGCGAAACTCCTGAAGATGTAGAATCCTTCACATAACTGGGAAGCATCATCGATGAACAAGGAGGTACAGATGCAGACGTAAAGGCGAGGATTGGCAAAGCAAGGGTCGCATTCCTTCAGTTGAAGAACATATGGAACTCAAAACATCTTTCAACCAATATCAAAGTCAGAATCTTCGACACGAATGTCAAGGCAGTTCTACTGGACGGAGCTGAAACTTGGAGAACTACAACAACCATCATCAAGAAGGTACGAGTATTTATAAATAGCTGTCTACGCAAGATACTCAATATCCATTGGCCGGATACCATCAGCAATAGCCTTCTGTGGGAGAGAACAAACCAACTTCCAGCTGAAGAGGAAATTTGGAAAAGACGATGGAAATGGATAGGATATACATTACGCAAATCGTAAACTGTATCACGAGACAAGCCCCAACTTGGAATCCTGAAGGGAAGCGGAAAAGTGGAAGGCCAAAGAACACATTACGTCGGATAATAGAGGCAGATATGAAAAGGATGAATTACAACTGGAAGGAGCTGGAAAGGATTGTCCAGAACAGGGTTGGATGGCGAATGTTGGTGAGCGGCCTATGTTCCTTCACGAGGAGTAACAACAGGCGTAAGTAAGTAAGTAAGCAAGCTTGAGAAGTCACATTTCAAAAATATCTAGTAAAAGACACCAAAGTATATTTTTGATAAATTGGTAATAACTTGAAAACATACCACACATAGTAGTTGGCAGAGTAATATACACTTTAACCGTACCTAGTAACTTCCCTTTCACACACTTACCCTACGAAAATATATCACATTTTAAGTAAACTCTCAAAGTTAATCTAAGTTAATTTAATTACCAAAGAAAATTTGATTGACCACATGATTTGAGTAAACTGAGTACAGAAAAAAGAATTAGTGATTTAAGTTTACACACCATTTAACACATGGCATTTCACTGATTAATAATTAGTTCAAAATAATAAAATGATGGACTGGAAAATATCACAGATGCAAAGAACTAATGAATGTTTCTCGGTAGAACGAGACTATCCCGTTGCTGATTATGATTTACTTGAAACAACCAAAAAAGACTACAAACCGATAAATGTATTCTGATTTTTGTTTATACAGTAGAAAAGTACAAACCTGATAAACATTGAAGTAATAGCAAACGTGTAATATATCATTTCCCATAAAACTAATCTTAGTTGACAGTAGGAAATTGATCTTTTTCTTCCAAATGGATTACAACTACAAATATGAAATGTTGATCTCTGCCATTAAGAAAGAATAAATTTTTTAAATTCCATAATGATCAGAACTAGGGCAATATTGTGCAGTTAGGTAGAAGGACAGATTTCTAACTACAATCATTACTACAAGACCTACATTTTTAGGGCGTTTTTTTTTAAAATGAATTTAAAGACTTCATGATCAAGAAATCGAAACACAAGAAACCTTGAACTGAGTGATCCTGATTAGTAATTGATTTATTGTTTAATTTTTAGGGCTGATTGAATTATATAGATTGTATTTACAATTTGAATAATAGACTAAGTGATTCAAACAGAATTTCCTGATGTATATAAATCATTAGAAAAATGCATCTGCAATCTTGAAGTGTGTGATGGTTTCTCAGATATTTAAAGCAACATCATTTAATGTCTCAATTAAACCTATGCAACTCAGTGAAAGTCAATGAAAATTTTTACCATAACTAAGCGGTCATAAAAGAGGAAAATCTTAAAAGGTAGAGTTAACAAACCATACATAACACTATGATCGTGTAGCACGTAAATTTCATACATTAATTAATAGTACAAGATTGATAAGCACAAAAAACTACAGTTGAAAATATTGACCATGTAAAATGAAATATTAAGGTCACTACTATTGTTATTAGATCTAATCCAGGTGAAATATGCAAATCATATGCATTAGTAGATGGAAAATGAATACAAACAATAAGAAGTATGGTAATAATATTGTTATAATGAGTACTAAGTTAATTTATTATTGGTCAACTAATGATTAAAATTTACCTTCAGCTTGATTAACAACTGATGGAACAATTGATTGATTATGTTCTGGATGAAATGCAGTAATATTGAAAATTTTCTGTATTTTACCAGCGTGTAAATTTCCGTTTTCATCTATACTCTAAAATGATAATTTGTTTTTTGTTTTTAAAAATGGTTATTCGAAATCTAAGAGTAATAAAAAACTGGCTAGAATAATGAATAGATAAGTTGTAAATTGAGATACTTAAATGTAACTCATCATTAGATATGAGAGCTAGTGAAACTAATTTTGTTATTAATACTGAAGTAGTTGAAGCCAATTTCGAATACATTTATCATTAAGTCAGTCAAAACGATATGAAGTGCTAGAAAGTTTTAAACTTCATCAACCATTATCGGCCTCTTGCAGTGAAAGCTATCTATAAATAAATATTAGTAATACTGAAGTCAGCCTAAATGAATGCATTAAAAATGAGGTTAGAAATATTTTAATCAATAGCCACAGATTACGTTTTTTGGATGTATGTTCTTTCCAGAGAGTATATAAAAACTAACCAAAATGAAGAAATCCAAACTAGTAGTAGAAGATAACTGTTCTCGAAAAATTTACTTTAAGCTTTCGAATTGCTTAGCTAAATACACTAATGACCTTGACTCATCATATACTTTAACTTTTTTCAAAGTTATGACAAGATTTCAGGGTATATGGCAATTACGATCCCTTACGGCTCTATTTCCATTTCTTAATATATACATCTTGAAGTAAAATTTAAAGAGAAGAAACTTAATATTTCTTAGACAAACGTTTTAGTAACAATACAATAACAGTCTATGATCTTTGGGTATCATGTTAGGAAATTTCGGGGTATTTTGAAAATATTTAGCTTAACAATCCCAGAGTAGATGACTATGAAGTGAGTGCAAAAACTAACGAGTATGCACTTAGTAATACTACTATATGGTAAAACACAGTAGGTTAAACAGCTCATGTAAGATATGATAAAGAAGCGATCCGATTTACATACGCAATTTTCTTAAAACGAGCTTATAAAAACCTTCATTTTTACAATGATTGCCGAAATTCGAATAAATACTACTGCTAAGACTGACACGAAAAATTTGGTCCTTCAAATAGAAAACATCACACTATTAATCCGTTTACTTTTCAATAACAAGCTTCCTTCGACTAAGCCTGAAAGTAAGTTCTGTTTATTTCGTGGAATCAATAAGAAAATCCATTTGTGCAATATTCAGCATCCGTAAAGTTTAAAACAAATGATGAAAATTAAGAATATCTTAGAAATCTAATCATTTGATTGTAAGCTAGAAATGTATTTTGAGGATGAGATTTAAACTTGAGTGAGTGAACTGTATTTTGAAATTTTGAGTAGTTTATCAGAAATTTAGTGACTAAATCACTGAAACACACCAATGAAATACTCATTTGTCTAGTTGACACTATTTTAAATAATGTGGTGTAATCAGTTATCAACAAACGAGTCCGTTTTCCTTGAATTTTCAACTACCTACATTGGGTTTTTCATTTACACCGTAATATATGACAAATATGTTGATACAATAAAGCAAAGACTCAAAATCAAATACGAAAACATCTGTTAATATCAACGGCATATAATTAGTACAAAATACAAACCTCAGTTAATTTAATAGTATAATCTTCTATAACAGGTTTTCTATCTAAAGAGAGCCAAAATATTTCATCTGTTTTATAAACACGCGCTCGGCAGATTCGTCGCAGAGCTAATGGTTCTTCAAGTCTATGGATAAGTAGGCGTACAACAACCGTGAAGAATATACATTCATCTACAGAAAAACATATGATAGAAGAAAAAAGTGTTAAAATTTCGGCTTCATTTCAACAAAAACATTGAGGTCAATTTATGACATGCGGATCATTTAAATATAACTTAATGTTTATTAAAACTGAAAATATATAATCTAAGTAAGAGCATGTAGTCTTTTATTTACATAACGGAACATTGTACAAAAAGTTTGGTTTAATAAAATAGTTGATACTTTTCTTGAGAACAACTATTTCTTGAAATGACACAGTATTTCAGATGGGGGAGTTAAAGCATACGACTTTCAACCATTGAATTTCAGGTCTGAAGCCCGCTGAATTTGATTTAGTTAGAGCAACTAGTCAGTATTATCAGGCCACATATAAGATGTTCGGCTTGAACCTAATTACACCATTTGTACTTAATTGCTAACTTCCTATTTAAAACCGTAATTATGAGCTTTACTTTGTTAGCTATAGTAAAGCAGGTGGGAAATGTGATACTCATGTAGTTCACCAATAAAATATCGATTGCATTTTAACCGACATACGCTAAAAAATGCAGGATTGCTATAGCATGATGGTTAATCACGAAATTTTTGTGGTATGAATACTTAGTCTTAAAATATTCAGAATTTATTCACTTCTTTTAAGTTGCACAGGGTTTTGGAGATTGTTGAATTACAAGAAATCATGAACCTACTTAAGTTAGACCACCATCTAAAACCTCAGAGCATTGAAAGACCATTTCGTCCTAGTATAGGACTTTTCAGTGGTGCGCATCCAAGATTCTGAACGCGCAACTCGAACACAGGACCTTCGGTCTTGTACACGAATGCTTAACCCCTAAACCATTGAGTACAGATTCAGCAATGTTAATGTCTAACTTCAACAAATCCATGACATTGCACCACCATTTTTCATGGACTTTGGTGGATAACTACCTTACAATCGACACAGTTTAGCTCTACATGTGACGGTTTTGCACAAGAAATCCGGAAATGTTTTCTCGAAGTTAGTCACCAGTGAGCAAATGATGATTACCAGTATGGGGTTGGGGAGATTGTTGAGTAGTAAAGAAAACTCATAACTGTACAAATTATAGTATGCTAAACTGTAACGAAATAATTAGCACAATCTTTAACTAGTATATACGAAAGAAACATAAAAGATGTACATAAATTTAGGGATCATCTAGTTTCAAAGAAAATTCACAACAACCTTCAGATTTTTACTTTTCTAGTAAGTTAGAAAAGAAACAGTATGGTGTTCTTTTAGACTTTCAGTAATATTTTACAACTTAACTCATAAGCTCCAATTCTAAATGATGGTTGAATACTGAAATATTAATTTTCACTGATAGCATCTTACCATGGGCAGAAACGGTGGGAAAATGATAATAAACGTTTTATAATGGTAAGTTTCGGAAACAAGTTTATAAGCAAATGTTGTTCAACGTGGAAATTTAACGAAGGTTGACTTAAAAAGAGACTGGTATATACGCTCATTAGGAAAACTACGAAATACCATATACATATCGTCAAAATAAACAGTCAATGCAAATATAACTATATAATTTTCATAATCGACCTGAAAAATACATATAAATCAACAAATGAAGAACTAACCACGACTTCCAACGACATCAAACATAGAGAATTGATTATGATTTGATGGCCAAGTAACCCAAGTAGAAAATGAAGTTCCGCTTAAAGAATTAGATGATGCTTCTCCTCGTGTGACATTTTCTTCGCCTCCCAAATAGGTTAGTTCACTATCCGATAAATAACGACCAAAACCCAAACATACGTCTAAAATTCTAGATGATATAAAAATGATTTAATGTATGTCATATACATACGTTGTAAACCATAAGAAAAAATATCCACACTTTAAAACTGATCATTATGGAATTAATATTTTCAGAATTTTATGGTGGAATAAAATAGCACAGTCTTAGTGTTAATATGTAATATGTGAATATTAAACTAGCTTTTTGCGATCACAATATTTGCATAAAAATATTATAGAAAAGATATCTACAGTAGCCTACCGAAATCATATTGCTTAAATAGATAATGGTATCGATGCTTAGAATTTTTCAAATTACGTTTTATTATTGTGAAAACCGGTTATGAATTATGATTTTAAAACTTCAAGGTTTTAAAATATGATTAATCTCACAGTTTTAGAAAGCAAACTAAAATGACCATTATGTTTGCAGCTTGCTTCTAGCAGTGAACTTTGTGGATGCAGAAAAGGAACTGAAGACTAAAGCATCTCAGTGTACACAAGATTACACAAACAGTCCATTTGACTTAAGCATATTTGAATATGAACTCTAGCATATTCATTTTGATATTTCCTCGTTATTTTAGTTTATGACATGAACGTTTCATAAACGTTATAGTCTTAATTCGTTATAAAGTGTGGGATTTATTAAGTCTTTCCAAGCCTACTGTTAATAAATTCATTCATCTTATGTTTATAAAAAGTTCATTATTAATTATTTTACACTGATTTTACTAATTTGGGCTTAAATAATGACTTGTTCGCATTAAAAAGGATTCAATGTGTCAGTATATTAGAGTAACCATTCTTTATTTGAACCCTCAACTAAGTGAACATTAGTATTCATTTACTATTGGGGTCGATAAACATATCACGAACAAATTATTACCCCAGGACATCCTAATAACAATAATAGTGACCAGCTGCAGTAGTTAAGTCGACATTTTATAAAGAAAATTTTGAGGATAGATAAATAGAACAGCTTTTTTATGAATACTTACGTCACATACAACAATCTGACCAGTAACTTTGTCGTAGCACAATGAATTCGAATAGTTTATAAGTAAGGATTTCAAAAAAAGAATAGTGTTCTAAATATCAAATAAAATAACTGAATTAATAGATCACAAACAAATCCCAGTTAAGATTTACTAGGCATCTACAAAATTTCATCTTTGGATAAACTAACTCATGTATTTATGACTAGTGACCATTATCAAATCACGTAATAAGTTGGAAATGATTAAAAAAAATCTACTAACCCATTTATCGGTAGATAAACATGACCGTCTAATTGACTGACACCAACAAATAGTCGTTTAGCTGTGCTCTTTCTCATTTTAAATAATTCCGACTTTTCTTTTGGTACAGGAGTAAAGTTAACATTCGATCCATCATCTTCTCTTATATCCAAATGTAAACGTAAACTAGATCATGTTTATTAAGGTTGAGAATTAAATAAAAGGGTAGACAATATGGGAAAGAATCTTTTATTATTCAAACTACAAATAAATTCTTGAAGTTAACAGAAAACAGGTATTAGTGATGTAGAACTTGTTAATCATGTAAATAGACATTGCCAACTTCATCAAAGAGAAGCAGTTTAAAATCGAAAATTAGAATTAATAATGAGTACTAAGCAGTGTTTGATCACTGTATTGGGTTTAGTTCCAAATGGTTTATTATTTATTTATTTATTTGGACACATGAATATTGGTACAAGAGAGCGCCAATATATATGCGCCATACAGGACAATGAAAATTCGAAAAGGAATACAAAGAAAGAAAAAAAAGCTAAGGAGCACAAAAAAAAGAGAGAACAATAACGAAGAGATTGGTGTAAGGTAATGTGCTAGTAATCAGGGGACGCAAAGGTACAATCGGAAGAAATCTTTCAGGTAAGGGAGACACAACCACTTTTTATGAAGAAAGTAAAAGAAGGTTACAGCAGGATCGCCACTGGCTTCTATTCTGAGCCATATCTGATAACGTCTCTACCCACTGTGTAGCACCATCTCTCAGACCCCAACCAGGGAGTCGTGGAGGACCGACACAATCCTTTCATGCCACGACACCATGTCATGCACTGACCACTTCTCCGCTTCTTCCAACCAGTCCTAGAGTCGGCAAATAATGCACGACGTGGAATTTTCTAGGACGACATTCGTAGAACATGTCCAAGCCACCGAAGTCGGTGTTTCAAGATGGTGACACCAATTGAATTATCATCTCTGTGCTCTAACACACGATGCCGAACCTCTGCATTACTGACATGGTGTTGCCACTGAATGTCAGCAATCCTTCGGAGACAGCGATGATCGAACACAGAGAGTCGTCTAACGTCCTCAACTCGAAGAGGCCAGGTTTCACAAGCATAGAGCAAAACTGCTCTCACCGACGCGTTGTAGATCCGACCTTTTACAGCCAGACTAACATCACGAAGGCGCCAAAGATGGTCCAGATTGGCATAAGCCACTCTGGCTTTCACTATACGTGCATTGATCTCATCACTCACGCCACCTCCAGCACTTATGCAGCTACCCAGATACACGAACTTCTCGACTACGTCTATCTGCTCACCATCCAGGGTGAGTACAGGATTGGAATCCTGCCAGTCTTGTAGAAGTACTTTGCACTTCGAAGGTGCAAAGCACATACCATACCTACGGACACTGATTGTCAACTGATTAAGTGCGGATTGCATACCTTGGGCATTATCGCACAGTAAGACAATATCGTCCGCATACTCAAGGTCGAGAAGTCTTTCTCCAGGCAACAGATCCACACCACCATTACTTACATTCATCAGAGCTGTTTCCAGAATGTCATCGATGGCAAAGTTGAAGAGGAATGGTGAGATTGGGCAACCCTGCCTAACCCCACTACTCGAATGGAACAATGGAGAGAGGTGGTTGTATGTCCTCACTCTGCCTGAGGTGTTTGTATATAGGGCTTTTAGGATGTTAATGAATTTCTCAGGCATACTCTTCTTCAATAGACAATCCCAGAGAACAGTCCTGTCTAACAAATCGAAGGCATCCCTGATGTCAAGAAACACTACGATCGCTGGCCTTTGATAAGAATGGCGATGTTCTAACATTTGGCAGAGGGTGAAGATATGATCAATACATCCTCGATCAGAACGAAACCCAGCCTGCTCCTCGCGAAGCAATCTTTCTCGAGTTTTGAACAACCTACGAAGTATGACGGAAGCCAATAACTTGGACGCAATCGGAAGTAGACTTATCCCCTGATAGTTGTTGCAGGAACGACGTGAACCCTTTTTAAAGATAGGGACAACTATCGACTCATCCCATGACGTTGGTACACTCTCTAGTTCCCAAACCTTTGTAAACAACGTCGTCAATTCCTTAGTCAAAAAGTCACCACCATCTTTAAAAAGAGCCGGAGGTAAGTTATCTGGGCCAGGTGATTTGTAACGCTTCAAGAGTTGGAGTTCCTTGCGGACTTCCTCCTCGTTTGGTGGATCAGTCGTCACCGGCCATGGAGGGCAGGACAGTTTGACCGATGTTGCCGGAGCAGAAGGCCAGTTGAACTGCCCTTCGAAAAATTCTGCCCATCGTCCAAGACGTCGATGGATGTTAGTGATTGGCATCCCATCATCCTCGCAGACTGTTTCACTCACACCAGACTTCTTGCTGCCAGTGGCTCGGATGAGTTGGAAGAGCTTCCGGTAGTTACCAGATGCAGCTGCTGCTTCCAGCTCATTAGCACGCTTCGACCACCAGGCTTCCCGGTCCTTACGAAAGCTTTGCCCAATCTCCTTACATAACATCCTTCGTTTATGGTCAAACTCACGGTTACCCGGAGTAGACCGACGGGCTTCAATGAGTTGTAAGGAACCAGAAGAAACCCAGTGCTTAAAAGCGGGACGTTTCGCAAACCCACAACTGACTGTACCCGCCATTTTCATGGCGTCATGCAATTGCAACCAATGCTCATTAATACTTTTCGGTGGAGTGGTAGCTAGCCTAAAGGCTAGCTCGGTTCGATACTTATTTGCAACAGAAGTTGCAACCAGCTTGCTAATATCAATCCGTTGATGGCGGTCACTTCGTTGTCCACTGGAAAGTAAGGCAAGATTGGCGCAGACCAAGGCATGGTCAGAGTCCAGATAGGTACTCCAAAAGGAGCGGCAGTCTTTTACACAACCACGCCAGTGGTAGCTGATCGCGATGTGATCAATCTGAGTCCAGGCTTGGGATGCAGAGGGAGGACGCCAGGTGGCACATCGGTGATGACTGTGCCGAAAGTTAGTGCTAGCCAGAAACAGGTTGTGGTCTGTGCACAGTTGCAGTAGACGGTCCCCGTTATCTGACCTGCGACCAACGAGTCCCCTTCGGCCACCTAAACGACTCTCTTCTCTGCCTAGACGCCCGACCTGAGCATTCAAGTCTTCGGCTAGTACTACAATATCTGTCGAACGCACTTTCTGGAGAAGAACAGATAACTGGTGGTAAAACTCATCCTTGATTGCATCCGGGCTGCAATCTGTCGGGGCATAGGCGGAGATAACGAAAAGACATCGTTTCTCACGCCGATTTCTTCTCACTTTGATGGAACTTTCTAATCTAACAGCACATAACCGACTGTTAATCGGGATCCAATCGATTAGTGCTGCCTCAGCTCTAGCGCTTAGTGCGACACCAACGCCAGCAAGACCAAACGAAGATGCCACAGGGTCCCCGGATAAGCGCACGTAAAACAAGCTTTTTGAAGTGACAGATGTAGAGCGAATTTGTAGTACTTCACCAGAGTCTTGAATACGGGTCTCGGATAGACAGCAGACATCGATATTAAGACTTTCCAAAGACATAGCCAGCCCTATCTGTTGACCAACCTGCATAAGTGTGCGAACGTTGAAGGCAGCCAATTTGAATGGCGCACGTGGTTTCAGAAAAACTGCTTCAGTACTCATATTCGATGGTAACATACAACTTTCAACCGGACAGTGACTCGAGAACGTTTAGATACAGTCGGATTTCCACCAAAGCCGAGCCGCTGTATAAGTATAAAAGAGGGTGAATAATGTGGAAAATAATAATATAATGATAATAATAATAATAATAATAATAATAACAATAATAATGACAATAATAGTAATAATAATAATAGTATTAATAATGACAATAATAGTAATGATAATTATTTGAATCGATTGATTGTTTTTCGGAGCGAGAAAAGTAGTTGCCATAGACATAGAGTTCATCGTTTGTGTGTGGGCTGTGATACTGCACGGGTGCCCAAACCGAAGCAGGTGGTTATCTTAGGGGGCCACTCCCCGAGCCTTTGACCTAAAGGTCTAACCCACAAGGCAGTGGAGCATCGTAAGGAGATGCAATCCCATGGTAGCCGGTGACCAAAGATTGGTTCATACGCCATTTGTTCCCGCAGGATACTGGAGCCCATGTGCATCATTGGTTCGTGATCTGGTTAAAGCGCCGGACATTCGCTTTTCGTCCTCTCATTTTTGTAAACAACACCCCCGCCACGAGAAGGCAATGAGTAGGACTTCCCTGGCAGAGGCTGTATACGCGCGGCCGTGTGAGAGTATTTCGAGAGGGAGAGCGGACTCACCCCACTCTCGGCTGTACCAGGGCATTCGGGTTTACTTATAACATATGTTTGACTATGGAGTAGGATTATATGACTCGGGAATTTTAAGGTGGTAATACATTTCTACGACATTGTAGGTGGGTTTCATTGACAAGTTCTTAAAAGCACGAGAGCCAACTCAAAAGTCTTGATCAGAAAAAAGGCTGTATAACATATAGGTCGTTTAAAATAAGGTCAAAATAATAAGATTCCAATATAAGGAGAATGGTAATATGAATGCGTAACGAATTAAACAACTGGTTATTTACAGGTGTATCTTGATTTGCAAAGTTAATCAATTATATGAGCCTTCAAATACCCGTAAAAAAACGAAAATTATCATCGATATACAAAATGTTTGGTCATGGAGCTTAGATATGTTTCGACTAGATATCTAACAAGACGTTAAACCCCAATGATTTCATATGGAAAATAGCAAAGCAATCGAATTTAACGTCTTGAAAATCCCTATACAGTGTTCGAATGTAGGAATATCGATCGATCGGTTATTCAAAACCAGAATCCCAGTTAATAGTAAATGAATTCCTGAGGCTACTGAGTACATAGTAATAAGGCTCCTATTTCGTTCTTACAAGGATATAATATTCTTGATATCATGTAGGTTTTTCAGCATTCTAAGGGTGGAAATGACTTACGTAACACTTTGAGGCTCCCACACACCTGAAATAGTAGCAGTGGATCCAGTTTCTTCAGTAATGATTCGACGGATGACATCGATTATCCTCAACGTCTAAACAAAAATTCGAATTGTAATTTTAATGGTGAAGAAATTAACGTTACTTTTTTCAAAAAGGAATTGAATTAAACAAAACTTTTGAAACTAGTTTTACTTCATACAAACATCATGACTCTTGAATTTTAACGTATCTCTTTACTTTTAGTGATTATGAATCGAACTAAAGAGGTAAATGGAAAAATCTTTTAAAACGTGGATTATCTTTTTCTGACAAACATTCGGTTTGAGTGAAGAAAAGTAATGGAAAATAAATTAACTCATCAACCAAGTATTGGAATACGAGTCACACTCTGAGCGTGAGGGACAGTGATACTAGCCTACTACCTAAACCAAAGTAAGAAGGGATCAAGAAGACTATATTTTGAAGGAACTGAAAATCCTGGGTACCTAAATAAACAAAAGGTGATGCGAGGTTTGGAACTGTGATATTGGTTTTTGACTGACTTTATAGATCATAGAGCAATGACGCCATATTTCCACGGTACCTGTTGAACGAACTATTTAGTATCTGGTCTTGTATGTTGATGGACAAAAAGAGAACCACCTACTGCTGTCCCTAGTATTTGATGAATTTTCTTCACACCATAAAAATATTCCAATGGTTGACAACATGAGTCAATCGAAGCTAAACAACCATGGTTGGAAAAAGGAGTCACTAAATCGATCAACAGAACTATCTTTTCTCCCTTAGTAGATAGTGAACATCATATCAAAATAGAGGAAGCTTTCTCTGTTTTATATCAAGTTTCAAAATATCTACCTCAAGGAGCTAGATTACGGTTACTCTAAATAGCCGAATCCATCTTGATCAACTCCAGAAAACCGAACTTATGTGTCCAGAGAAGGTATATCCAGCCTATAGGTGTACCTTGGCCTATGACTGGATCACTGAATACCTAAACTGAACCATTGAAATTACTGTAATATCCACAAAAAGCCCTTGCCATATAAATATGTTGACTAGATCTCTCAAAAGGCTGAATACTTCAATATTGATAGAAAATAGGCGCGACTTATGCTACAAAAGTTCCTGATACGATCACACACAAAGCTCCTTTAGGTATAATAGCAAAATTTATCTAAATAAATCTAAGAAGAAAAGCCGAGTGATGACAATTCTAATTTAGACATTACTTTGGCTTGTTTCCACTGCAGTTACTATATTCACCACGTACCAGAATTTGTGAACCAAAACTATCGTAAGCAGTTTAATCACAAACATGTTACACTTGAAAGTTTACATTGCAAAACGAGAGAGGTAACAAAAATATTTTTAGAGTTACCCCATGATATGTTGTACAACGTAATATATGTGTTAAATACATGTTTAATGGCTCTTCTGAAGACAGGTCTATCGCTTCGTTATTTGATGATGAAGTACCGTGAGTTAGTAAAACATAATTTGCTGTTGCGGTGTCGGATCCCTTTGACAAGTTTTTGATCTCATTAAGTGGGAAACAAATTAATTGTTCATTGGTAACTGAATCCGTAACGCTAGAAAAAAGTGAGATGAAATAACACAAAGAAGGAAGTCTAGTGGTCGGGAAAGTAACGGACTAATAAGTAAAAGTGGCAAATGTTCCTAACAAAATAGTTTTGATAATGAAATGCGGTAATTCAGCGAAATCGTGTATACTGTTAGTTACGCATGATAAAGTGACACAAGTAAACTGCGCAGGTTATAATTAATAAAGTAGAGCTACTAGATGAGATTTCAAGTGAAAAATGAATGCAAAAAGATCTTCGAGTGAAATGAACTTACCATAAAATCCCCTCTCTGTTGGTTGGAATTGATATATTTACGACAGTGAAACAGTCTGTCGAGTTGTTTTCAAGAACATGAAAATATTTGTTTACTTCAGTTTTGTTCAATGACGACATATCGATATTTGGGGAAAAAAATTGGATGTCTTCGAAATAAATGCATCGAGAGTCCGGACCGTTCGTTTTACCAGGTGGAGTCGGATTCATATCGCAATTTCGGATTATTTTAGGTAAGAACTTGAATATTTTCCTGATCGCCTACAGGAACCGGATGATTCGAATAACTACCTTTAAGGAAGTTAAATGATACGAGTTAGCAAGCTGTCGCGAAGAGAAAACGTTATTCCAAATAACCACCGAAATATAATAATGAAATTCGATTAACTGAAATTAACACCAACCACTCCATCACAATACATTACTTAAGAGCATCACATTACAAAAATTCGGAGTGTCGAGTATTTACAATCACAGCAACAAATGTTTAGAATATTTGCATCGAAATGCACAAACAAAAGCATGTATTCACTAACCTACAAATCTAAGCAATTGAATAAAGATATAAAAACACAATGCTTTAGTGAATTTTATAACCAATTTTAAGCTAGCATATTAATATGAAATAGAAGTTTACGTCAAAACTCAGCTCCCAGTGTCCTTGATATTTGCACTAACTGTTCATTGCCTTCCGTTGTGAATAAAGTAGCATGTTGATAAGCATGTCGAATAGATTAGAATTTGCACAAGCATTAGGAGATGCGTATGGTGAAGTCTTAATTTCTAGTCTTTTTAACAAAACCAAATAGTAAATAACATAAAGGTTTTATTTTAGTTACAAATTTACGCCACATAAAGATTTATCGACACCACTTATGAACAGTTTACTTTAGGTAATTAAGTTCGTTTTAACTTGACAAGATAAAAGTGATCGTAATCAATTTAACAATTAAGACATTAATTTGAACTTTGACCCAAAGAACGGCAAGACGGACATAGCATAATCTATTCAACCTCAGTCATTCAGAGAAAGTGCTGTTTCTGGTTAAAAAAAACTTCTTAATAAAGTAAAGTTCAGGGCAAATCGACAGGGATTTTGCCTTAAAAATAACGAAATATATAATTGAATAAGTTGTATCCCACTAATAAATGGTCTGTCCTAAACCAACCAAAATGATTAAACGGAGAGTTACAATCGTAGTATGATTTGCTGCTGCTAATAAAATCAAGAAAAATATCGGTTTCAATAAGCCTCGCAGAAAATAAAATTATACTGAAATTTAAGACTGCTGCAGCACTAAAAGTTTAGATACTTAGTTTCTGAGAATATAAGTTAGATTTCTGAAAAAAAGAACATTTTGGCACTAACTCCACTCATACACCAGACAATACCAGGAGCTTAGATCCTTTTTGACAGTTAGGTACCGTACGAGCCAATCTCAGCGCTATTAACTAAGCTTTGAATATATGGTTTAAGATCCAATGTAAATGTATTTGTGATGAACAGTTTCTTAGCTCTCGTGTTTTTTGTCTCGTTGAGGTTACATGTCTTAATGTTAATGTATAATTTTATATAGTGCGACCACTAAGATGAACAAATCCTTGTCAGTTTATTGGTTATTTGTGTGTTTGTATATTTTGTGGTCGACGTGGATGCATTTATCTCAAAGCAACAAAATTTTTGGATTTCAGCAGCTACTAAATTATTGGGCAGAAGGAAAGTTAGTTTTAATGTGAAAAATGATATAGAGAAAATTTGGATGCTATGAGAAGACGGTTGTTTCAAGTACCACAAATAAACAGGTAGTTAGTAATGAAGTACTACTGCCTAAAAGCTGCACCATCACAGCGGCGACGGACATAGCTGCCATGGGAATTACGTTCAAATGTTGAGTTGCTGGACTTAACGAAATATAAATATACGACTCAGTTATCGTTGTGTTCTTCTTTTCCAGTAGTCTAAGTTACCAGACGTTTAGGACCCCTTTTGCACTATTTCTGTGTGTTTATCATTTTTACCATCTGTTGGAGCATGGGTAGGATTGCGATCCTGATCACTTAGTTGGAAACTCGGCTTAAGTGTTTGAAATATTTTCTCATTGCCTAGTGTTGCTCCGAGCTTTCTTACCAACGTTTTGCTGGATACAGGGTTTTTCAACTTATTATCCTGACTTGAGTCAATATGTCTACTACTCGTCGTTGTAGTTAGATTGTAACTACTGGTCGCAACGTTTTTACTGTTCGTGTGACTTAATGGATTAAAAGATATAACGTAAGTCAATAAAAAGAGGAAGCATACAAGATGCCAATTTCGATTGACAAAAATAATACGAATAGCACATACATAAAGGACACTAGTATAAAAAGCAACTTTTAACCATCCTAGGCACCAATCTTGCGTAAATCTGCAAGTTCTTGGTTTGAAAATGAATGAATGATGTTACGTTGTAGTTGAAGCAACTAGAAAGATAGCAGATGACTGAAAGAGCTTGTGGAATTCACGTCTAGTTCGGTAAAGTAGTATGTCTTTGCTGCCGTAATAATAGAGATAGTCCTAAAACTGTAGATTTGTCATGGTGTGAATACCTAATTTTTAAGATCTCACATGAAAGTCACATCACAGACTATGCTGACTCGTCCTACGTGACGATGAGTATTATGACGTTCAAAGATCATGTGGCTACGAGCCACTGACGTTACGAGAGTCACTTACTATATAGTGCTTCAACCTTGATGTGATTATGTATGTCCTATTTAAGATTTTGGTTTTCTATCACCGAAATAAGACGCGGTTTTGTTCTTTGAAGTAGTTTACTATTTCACGTCAGCAGAGAAAACTAGATATTCATCGTTATTTGTGCGAAATAAAAGACATTAGGTCAAACTCAAAAAGCTCACTGAAAAACTGCTAAATAACTTCCCGTAGACCTTTTACTGTGTGTGACGAGGTCAGAAAGTGACGGCCTGTAATGAATCTTTCTTGTAAGTTACTTTGGGTATCTAATAGACTTCAAGAGTTGATTACTCAGCGTGCGAATTTGTACGTTAGCAGTATTTCCTGGAGCTACATGCCCGGATAGGAGGGCAAAGTCTTCTGAACGTCTAAAGGACATGTTCATCCGATTACTTCCTTATTATTTTTCTTGTGGACACTTATTTTGTTATGTCTATGCACCTCCATTATACGCAAGTACAACGCGTCTCGATTTATTTCATATCACTTGAGTTGACGGTTAAATGACTATATGTGGTTGTCCTATAAAATAGCATATCAGTCATGAAACGAATGGTTAAACTTGGTTACGACGATCAAGTTCAATAAGTAAATAGAATAGCAGCCACAGAATGATGCCATAAGAGTCCTATTCATTGTAAGCAACGCCCTTTATTCTCCAACCCTCATACAACTTTTCATGGACACTTAGTATTTACAAAGGAATTACAGACACCAAATAAAGTGATTCACAAAGTCGAATGAGCACTACGACATTTGAGAAAATACCGATTATGATTTTCATATCAATGACAGAAACTCACGATTCACATACATTATAAAACCACCAGAAAACAAAATTTAGATGTTACTCATCTATATGCATTAGATTTCTGCATATAGTTTGCTCGGTAGCCGCGGTATCTGTTTACAAAAACGGATTCGTCAACTGACTTATCGACACATCATAAATTAGTATTAACTGACAACATAGTTCAGTTACTATGTTCAAAACAAAAATGAATCGTTTGGCCCACTATGAATTGGCGACCAATTATTATGGCACTTATGGTGATGCTATATACGGTTGCTGTATGTGTTCATAAGATGAACAGGAAAAGCTATCAACCTTAATTATTACTTATATGATTTTTCTTCATCAGATAAGTTACATATCAATATAAAATTTCCACAAAAAGCGATTATACTTATACCTGTTAGACTTGTTTACTTTTGTATGTTAGAAACTTGTATAATGTTCAAAAAAGTTTAATGACGAATTGCCCCAACCTGCACTTACTAAACACCTGTCATATATCTTTGTAGTTATAATTACCAAGGTTTGATTTGATAATTTCGAATAAGTTGAGCATTTGGTTGATTGTTATAAATAAAAATAATATATTTGTAATAATACAAATATATCATTTTTATTTATCATATATCTTTGTTCACTCACATCATTTGGAGTGTTAGATCATATTTTAAGGTTTTTAAGTCAAATTTGCATGAAAATATCTAATTTCAGTATATCTATGACCTGATAAATAGTGCATTTCACTTGCACGCGTTCAGTTTGATACAAATAAGCACATTTCATTTGGCTTGGTTTTCCTCCAGATTTTGAACAACAACTACGTTAAAATACTGATAAAATGGAAAAAAACAGCCTATTCTCTCTTTGTTTAGGGAAAACTTTATCCGTTTTGTTTAAATTTTGGGGAAGCCGCATTAGAAAACGTTGGAGAAATTTTGAGGAAATGGCAAAAATCCACACAATTTTCCCAAGTCTGGGGAAAAGTTCCAAAGATTTCGAGGGATTTAGAGTTTTCTCCAATATTTCCCCAGAATCGTATAACAATTAGAGGGTTTTTTGAAAATCCACCTAACTTTGATGAAGCACAATCTTAATTTTCGGTGGAACGTTAGAGAATTTTGGGCGAATTTTAGGGTTTCTTCAAAATCGAAAGTAGTTTGGTAAGTGTCCCATCAGGTTGGGGAAATTTGTGGGCAAATCCTCAAACCGTCATAAGATTCCAAGGAAATATTGGGGAAAACACAAAATTTTCTGAATCATTTTAAGGATTTACTTAAAACCTTGGGGATTTTCTCTATACCCTAGGAAATTTTAGGTTTTCCGCACCATTTCCATAAAAAATTATCAAAGCTTCTATCTCAGTTTCCCTGAAATCGGCTCAAACCGTTTGCGAATCTGGGAGATTGGGAGACTACCAAGGTTCTCACGGCATTAGGGAAAACCCAAAAATTTACTCAAAATCCCCCAAAATACGAAGATTTGGTATGCAATGAATATAAAAATTGCAAAACCTAACGTGGATCGGCAAAATTACTGTCAACAACTGATCATCAAAGACTTCAAATATACTCGATAACTTGTGACATGTACGCAAAAAAACGAAGCCTAATTCATACCTCGTTCCCTCACCTTCACCTCGGTCCTTCAAAGTTTTGCTAAAATGGACGAGTTAATTCAAACCATAGGATGACTTTTATTTTGTACTGACATAGTCTGATTTATTGAGGAAGCAATATTGTTGAAGTATACTATACCGATGGCCTTAGGTTAATTAACACAACGCGCGCAAAACTTGAAGCGTAGTGACTGGTATCTAGGTAAAAATTGACTATATTCAACGCTTGAAATGAATATAACCAGTCAAAATATCTGATACACAACATAAACGTAAATGTCAGGTGGTTTGTTAGCTTAATTACAAAATAAACCTGTTCGGAGACCAGATTTTTGAGTTAGACCTCATCAAGCATTTAGATGCTTAGTTCAACACGTAGTCAAATGTTCATTAAAGCTTTGTTATTTTCTAACTTATTAATTCCAAATATTATTCTCAATTACAAGACTTTTTAGGCTCGTAGAAGGAAGAGTGTCAAGGCATTGTCGATAAATCTGCATATCCAGATATCATATTATAAATGGTGTCAATTCATGACGAAAACCCGGACTCTTACTTTCTAAAGCTAAACTACAAAATATATTGTTAGTGGCAGTGAAGTGCTCCATTAAATGCTTTAATTTTTTTGGAAGGGTGGTAGAAGATTTATACAAGTGTGCTTTTACGTCTAGGGAATTTACACAGGTCAATTTTTCCGAAAATTCACCCAATTCTGGACTTTCTACTCACTTTTCACGAGCCCTGAATTTTCTCCCAAATTAGCCTCAAAAAGCTCCGAATTGTTACCTCAAACGCTAGTATTTCGATAAGCGAATTGGAAAGGTGTTTACTCTATCATTCCTTGTAGACATTTATTGTAATTTAAAAATTTGTACTTCTTCGATGCAATAAAAATAAAGTCTGTTAAACACAGTTTTCCAAAATTTGAAGCTAAACCCTGTGAACTTGATGCTAACTACTGCATATTGTTGTTTTATGTGCATCATGCCCACGCTTGATATACATTTTGATGCTGGCTTGTGTGTGTCTGGTCTCATCATTTTATTAGCTGAGGTTCAGTCATAAATAAAGCAAAAGTTACGAGGACACCGTTATGTAGTAGGATCCACTTTGATGATGACTGGTGACTAATTGATTGATCTTTCGTTTACTATAAAATGTATTAATACCAGCGTAAGAAATCTTGTTGCATGAAGTTGAATATAAACAAAACGTTCAGTGATTTTCACAGATGACAAACTACTGACAAATAAACATAATACATGAAAAAGCTCACTATAATATTTTGAAAACGTGGAGTCACGATTTAGAGAGATTCATTAGTTTACGTTTAAATAAATAAAAAGTTCCATAACAATAGACCTTGAACTCTATTAGTATCCTGAATCGCGATGAACAGCTAAAACAAATCAACCTTTACGTTTATGCAACTCAATTACCAGGTGTACGTGTGTGCATTAAGTTATGAGGTGCATTTTATTTCTAAGTGCTAGTGATGCTCCTCGATTGAGTGGACATAATAGGTGAGATAGAGTTGGAATGTGTGACTTGTGGTTAAAATTGGAATGTTTCAAACAATAACCTGCTAATCCATATTTCATTATTTGATGGTTTACTTAGATTGCTGCCGTACTAATACAATAGTGGACTCCCTCTATAAAGTGACAGATTCGTTTAACTTTGATAAATTACGGTCGTCACTGATATAAAGCCACTTGTTTTTTTTTATAGTAAATGGTCTTCTTTTGGATGTAACCTGCATTCCTTGTGAATAACTCTTCAACGTAGACCATTTTGCTAATCCTCTGTGATTATTTCCACAAAGTTAAACTTTAAAGGCTAGTCGACACATACACTCACCAATTTTGCACTGTGATTGGTTTTTCAAATACTCCAACAAGATCAAGACTGGATCTTTAAAGCTTTATCTGACGTACACTTCACAGGTGTGTCTCTTCTGCCAAACGTTTATTTCAATGTATGCGTATCCCATATCTTTAAACGTGCCTATATTTGTTTTGTGTTTGAAATTTACTGGTATAACAAGTATTTTTCCTTGTTAGATAAGACTATTTAGCGCAGTTCATTTCTAATGAATGCTGAAAATGTCTTCTGTGACAAAATATCGTTCAAAATCTTTCCCGGACTTGTCTGCTTTGGGAGATTAACCAGTGATCATCACGTGCTTGCGTTTGTTACTTCCTCAGATAAAGTAATTGTTTTAACAAATTTTTCTTTTTTTAATCATTACTTCCGTATTTTGTAATAATTCAAATTATTGGCGTTCAAGTCGTCACTTTTATCTATGATTTTTGTCCGTTTATTAAGGTCAAATTATCAGGCGAATCGATGCATTATGGACTAAAGTTACATAATAAACCCATTTTTGTGTTGTTCGCGAGATCGATAGTCATGTAGATATAGATCTCTACATTGTGACTCTTTATATTCCGAAATTCTGTTCTTCAAAACGATTATCAATCCCTAGACGAATAATAGTTAAAATTTAAGTATACTCTGTCCGCTAAAGTTCCAGCAATATTTAAGATAAGATAGTAGCTGCGCTTTCATGCGTAAACTTATGTTATGCATAACGATCATGAAGTAAGTAGTTTTGAAGCATGGGTGAAAATAACAGTGTGATTTTTCCACATCAAAATATATTCCATTACTTAGCATGAACCAACTTTATTTTTAATTTACAACTAAATATTTTTTATATAAATAACTGAAGTTACAGCAACTATTTAATAGGTAGGAAATAAGCGCGTTGTAAATCTATATGTAGTCTATTGTGATTACAATCTGTCCAAATTAAACTGAACTAAATTCATTCAGATTTTTAAAAAATATCGGGATTCTTGGGGCACAGCTAGTACCAGTAGGAAGCATATTAAATCAATCTTCGCAGCCGAACAAAATGTCTGTGGGCTAAAGGGAATTGAAGGTCATGGGTACAGCTACATGTAAACGCCAGAGTGTATGTTTTCAGGTAAGTAGACGGAGATTATTGTGAAGGAGGATGGGGTATGGGTGAATGTTTTAATATCATAACAGTAATCAGGTGGACGACAAGTAAATTTTAGTGAAGAACATTCGAATGAAAATTGTTGAGTTTACACTTACAAAAAGATAGAATTTGATTCTATAGGGATTACTGAATAATGTACATAATCCTTAATGTTTACAACTAATTATAAGTTCCAAATTAGATGGCTTCATAATTCCATGTTTTCCTTTACTAAAATATGCTAGACGCGTTCTCCAAAGATATGGTTGTCGGAGAACAACCTGTGTTCATAATATAACATTAAATCAGACTACTGTTATGGTTAAACCAATGAAATTAAAGATAAAAAGTATTTTATTTAGGCACACATTCATTCATTGACATATTTAAATGGCGTTTCAGGTGTACAGCTGATACCAGTTGGTGATGAAAAACCGTACCTTAATTCATAACCCTAAATTTGGACGCTAAATCTTAATCCTGATTCCTCATATTGATTTATAACTCTTTTGGAACTGGTAAGTAGAAGAATTATCTAATGATCACTTTAGCGTCGCTCAAAGTTTGTCTAGAAATTGTAGGTCTACCCCACATTAATAAAGTGATCTTGATGATTAGCGAATAATCATTTAATTTTTGAAATGTGACTATCAAATATTTTAACTAAATGAGGCAAAATTAGTTACATAATTATTAGTTTGATTTATGATTTTAGATGATATATCATATGTTTCACGTACATTCCTTTAGGTTTACATTTATAATCCAAAATTTTACCATTCTTCTGAAGGTATCACTAAAATCTTATCCCAAGGTAAGTACCAGTATATTATTTTAAACAGTTTTTTTGTATATCTTTTCTTATTTTATAGATTTTATTAAATGTAGTAATATTCATTCAATATGTGCAATTCATACAGGCAAATTTGAGCATATTTCAAATCAAAATGATCTATTAATAATTGGATCGAAATATGGTATTCTAATCTATGATTCAATAAATAATGTGGATATATTTTGGAAAGAAGTAACCATCAATTTCTCTTATTATAGCATAATTAATGATCTAATATTTAGTTAAAAAATAATGGTGTAAACACAATTTTTTACAAACATTTCGATGAACAGTATAAATATTATAAAGATACTGATATTATATTTATTGGGGGTCATTGTTCATTGATTGGATTGAATTATTCAGCCAAAGAATTATTTTGGACTGTAACTAGTGATAGAATATCTGCAATAACTTGTTTATCTTATGAGAACGATGAAGAATATCTCAATGATATTGTTGTTGGCTCTGAAGATTATACAATACGTATATTTCGTAATGAATTAATTATTCATGAAATATCAGAAACAGATGTTAGTAGTTTGTTTACCTACAAATGTAAATTTTTGTAAACTTATTATGAGTTTCATGAAAAATAAGTGACTAGATTTATGAAGTTTATAGTATTTCCAAACATTTTTAGAAATCTTTGTTATCTATCCAGGTTAAGAATTTTGTTCACGGTTCTTATTGAACGTTCAGCAGTAGGGACATATAAAGTAGGTCTTGAAAAAGAAAGATTGTTTTCTTAAACTAACAAGCAATTACTAAGTTGACATGAAAGTCGGTTATGTTTCCAGCTTCAACCGACTTTCATCGATCCTTTAACGTTTTGAATTCACTGCCGAAACAACGTAGATTATCACATTGAACTCGGAATAATTATATCTATTTCAGTTAGTATATATGAATTTTCGTGTAAAATTGATCGATTAATTTCACAGTATTTGGACACCGAGTTGATGTGAGGAATTAAGGAGGAAGAATGTATTTGTAAAATCATTCATTTGCTGAGATTTTACAAATACACTCTTTCTCAATGTTTATTTCAGTTAGTATTTACTTAATTTTTGAGGTTAAAAACTTACTAATCAGGGTTTCACTGACTCGTTTTTTGCTTAAACTAATTCACAATCTGTAATTTTCTAATTTATCACACACAACAGTAGTAAAAAAATAAGTTTGAAACCTGAATAAAAACCAGAACTGAATGTTTATGTAACAAGGTGACTCAAAAAAATCTCTAAATTAGGGGCGTGCCGATCCATCTATTTCTAATAGACAGCTAACCAAATAAATGTTTTCATTAAAGACTATATTTCTTGTTTGACTTTTTCGTTAAAGTGCTTTTAGAGCGGACACTTTCCTCATCTAAATTTCGAGGAGTTGAACTTTTACCGGGAGATTCACTTGTTGACTTAGAACATGTCGATGACATAGTTCTATTTGGTGAAGACGCTGAAAAATTCGGTCTCCTGACCGCTCTAAGCAACAATGAAAGCATGTTCTTGATGCGATTCTCCCTATTGAAATGCAAAATGTTGCTTCAGGATTCTAATCTTCTGAATTCTTCATGTCATTTTTTTCTCATTCCAAATTTATTTCACTGGATTATACTCCCTGAATAACATCTTCAAACTCTAATGTTTCCGATTACTCCCTATACTTTTACTACCTCTACTACTATGGGATTTGAATCGGCAATTGTATTTCTGTGCTAATATGGTGTGGCAACTTGAATTGATGTACGTGCGTACGAAGTTCTACGTTGTTGCTAACTGACTGATACTTTATACTATGAATAAATCATGTAAGATAATATTTACTCATTCTAAGATTCTGAATAACAGAGTCTATTATTGTTTGGCATGACTAATTTACCCACTTTTTCTGTAAATGCTTTTTAAACAGGCAGTAATAAAACTTATTTCACTTGGTGATGAGTATTTTGGTTATGGTTTGCGAAATGGTACTATCGGTGTATATAATGGAGTGAATCGTGTATGGCGTATTAAAGTAAGTGGTTCAAGTATTGAATGATCAAATCTCTTATCAGATGTTAAAGTCATAGTATATTTTACAATAGCATTACAATAATTTGTAGTGGCTTAATGACCATCCTTTTCCTTAAACATGTTTTTCGCAATTCGAATGATGAGTGACAGAATTTATCTTCAAAGCATTGTGAAAAAGTACATTATTAACTGTGTACCAGTCTGTTTATTTAGTGACGTGTATATCATCCAGCTGTTGATGAAATCCAGCCTTTTCACTACAAACAAACTTCCATCTGAAATTAATTCTTGTTCCCGTTTTCTGAAAATCCTTTTCAATAACTAAGAATGAAGTCAGTGTAAAGAATCGTGTTTTTAGTTCGTATGGTTTGACTTTAAGTAGTAGTAGGTAGTAAATAAACCATTGTAGTCGATTCCGAAAATCTCTTTAGTCAAAATACTTATAATACTCACTTGCGTAGTCCATGTTTAAAAGAAGAATAAAGTCCACTGCATTTCTGTAGAAATGGTATCTCAAATTAATCTCTCTCTCTCTCTCTCTATATATATATATATATAAGAGGATGTAGATCTTCTAAATTTCATATGATTTTGAGATAGTGAAGATAATTTCTAGCTCAGGTGGATGGATTTGTGCTAATGATTTTGTTCAGAAGGACAACGAAAGCTCCACGACCAAACTGACCAGCTCAGAGAACGAAACTACATCAAAAACTTTATCTGATATATGTGTATTACTAATTTAAATTAAACCGTAGTTTAATGATCAGACAAATCATTTCTTTTTTTACTTATTTCAGTCAAAAAACAAACCTATCTGCTTTGTCAGTCATGATATAAATTATGATGGATATCCAGAACTAATTTGTGGGTGGAACAATGGAAAAGTAAGTCTTTTATCTGCTTATCGTCATATCCCAATTTTTACCACAAATGAATTTGTTTTCGCTAATTATATCTTTAAACATCATTTTTTAGTTAATTTCCATCATAATGCTTGATAAGGCTTAGCAATAAAATCAAACACAGATTTTCTGCTGTATTCAAGACTCATCACCAAGAGTAAACCATATTTTATCATTCATTAGCTTTTAGAATATAAAGTGAACCATCTATATATAATTTTAAACGGTATTATTTATTTATTATGCAGTTTAAGTTATAAAATTATAAAAGACATTCCTATAAGGTTTTGTATATTAGAAAGGTTCACTTTTACACCTGCTTCCGTCTATTTTGATACATATGTTAGGGCTCCGTTGTCAAACGTGAATGGAGATGAAGGGAATAAATAAAAGAATCAATCCTCAATATAAGGTCAACATCTCTAGAATAGTGATACAGCCACCAAATTATTTTGATAATATTTCAAAATGCCTACTATGAAATAAACTGTCATCAATTGTTATGTACTGTTCATTTTTAACTAAAGACACTAAATAGTGAGTTTTTTATTAATTTCAGTTAACGATACAAGATTATTTCGATCCGTGTTAATTCTACCTATTTGAGTCTGAACAGTAAGATAAAAAGATGAAACGAATTGTCCTGGGCACATATTCCTCAGAAGTCAAATGTTTGTATAATTAAGAAAATTATTTTATTTTTCTTCCTATCCAGTTGAATCACTAATTCAGTTTTTAAAAAAAGGATGATCAATACGAATTTTGTTAATAGAGATATCTAATAAATCACTCATTTTAAAGGGTTTACTAAAATTTGTATCATTACAGTGGTTGTCTGACGAGGAGCATTTTAAAGCTTAACATTCTTTCATTCAAGTCAGTAGCTCTAATAAAAATTTATATAACTATCAACTTGATATAATAATGCATAACCAACTTACTTACTTATGCCTATTACTCCTCGTAAAGGAGCGGAAACCTCCCACCAGCACTCTCTATCCAACCCTGTACTGAGCAATCCTTTCCGGATCTTCCCACCTATTCTTCACCCTTTTCATATCAGCTTCTATTTCTCGACTTAATGTGTTCTTTGGCCTTCCACTTTTACCCATCCCTTCAGGATTCCAAGTTAGGGCTTGTCTCGTGATGCAGTTTGACGATTTGCGTAATGTATGTCCTATCCATTTCCATCGTCTTTTCCTAATTTCCTCTTCAACTGGAAGCTGGTTTGTTCTCTCCCACAAAAGGCTGTTGCTGATGGTCTTCAGCCAATGGATGTTGAGTATCTTGCGTAGACAGCTATTTATAAATACTTGTACTTTCTTGATTGTGGTTGTTGTAGTTCTCCAAGTTTCAGCTCCGTCCAGTAGAACTGCCTTGACATTCGTGTCGAAGATTCTGACTTTGATATTGGTTGACAGTCGTTTTGAGTTCCATATGTTCTTCAACTGAAGGAATGCGACCCTTGCTTTGCCAATCCTCGCCTTTACGTCTGCATCTGTACCTCCTTGTTCATCGATGATGCTTCCCAGTTATGTGAAGGATTCTACATCTTCCAGAGTTTCGCTATCAAGAGTGGTTGGATTGCTGTTCTCCGTGTTGTATTTGAGGACCTTGGTTTTCCCCTTGTGTATGTTGAGGCCTACTGATGCAGAAACTGCTGCTACTCTGGTTGTCTTTATCTGCATCTGTTCGTGTGTATGCGATAGGAGGGCTAGGCCATCTGCGAAGTCCAGATCGTCTAACTGGTTCTGAGCCGTACCTTGTATGCCATGTTTTCCCTTGGATGTCAAGGTCTTCATAGTCCAGTCGACCACCAGAAGAAAGAGTAAGAGAGAGAGTAGACAGCCTTGTCTGACTCCGTTCTTTACTTGGAATGTGTCTGTCAGCTGTCCTCCATGCATGACCTTGCACTGTAGTCCGTCGTGTGAGTTCCAGATAACGTTGACAATCTTCTCAGAGACTCCATAGTGTCGAAGAATTTTCCATAACATTCTCCTATCTACACTGTCAAACGCCTTCTCATAGTCAATGAAGTTGATGTATAGTGACGAGTTTCATTCAATTGATTGTCATATGTCAATGCATGACCTGAAACACAATTTGTCTGTTTATTCAATCTAAATTTATACTAAATTATTTTCGACATATGAAAATTCATTGTTGAAAAATACTACTATTTAATTGTCGAATACAAATGTTACTTTTTCCTTTTGTGAGGTTGAACATATTAGCCAAATAGTTTTTGGAGTTGTTTTGGTTATATGTTTTGTGTGTATGATAAGTGAAATAAAAGGTAGTTCTAATATGCTGCATAACAGTAATATTCAACCTTAGAGAACAGTCAACTAAATTAATTTAATAAGGTAAATAATGTTGTTATTTACAGAGAAATTATTGTTTGTAATCTAGTTTATCATTCATTGCAATCTATTTATTTATGTTTTATTTTATATAATTTTAGGTAGATGCTCGTTTGCGTTCTAATGGAGTAATTGTATTTAAAATTCAACTAGATGATTGTGTCGCTGGTATGACAGTGGTAAATAATTCACTTATGTCAATAGGTTAACGATTTTCTTTTCTAAATTCTATCTCAGTATAGTTACTTCATCCAGTATTCCAAAAGGGTTATTGACTTTCAACAAATGAATAGACGAGAAGCAGTTTTCAAGACTAATAGTAATCATCGCTGATGATAAGTTACATTTAAACTACTGAATTCTAAAAATTTATGAATGATAGATGTACAATGGCAGCAAATTGTAAATTATAATAACTATCTTATTAAACATGTAAATAGACTATAATAAACCAAGTCCTAAAACCACTAAAATAATATCTAATTTCATTTGAATGACACACAGAGATCTTTTTTAGTCAGAAAGCTGCCCTGGTTATTCAGAAACATTCATATATGAATAAATATGTGGTTTTTTACCTGTAGCTCATCTAGGATCACTACCGGTCCCGAGCCAGGTAAAAGATAAGGGTTGGACATGGGGTCTGGAACCTTAAGCCGTAGAAAAAAATCATACAACTCCTGTCACAGTAAGTGGACTGCAATTCGACGGAAGTCGGTCTTCTAGCAAAGGATCTATGGCTTGTTGATACAGTTGTGAGGACCATTTTTTACAGGTATGGCAACTCCTGAGAACCGATTTGATCGCTTCAATGACTGTAATGATCCGTTAGCCTTTCCTTATTATCAAAAGCCTATAATTTAGTCCCGTGTCCACTGGATTTACGATTACAGCTGATGATAAGATGAATTACTAAGCGATTAGCTGGTATTACAATTGAATGTCTCATTTGATACGGTAAACTAGACCTGTCTAAACGTTCACCAACTCTTATCATTCCGTTCATGAATGTATGCTTTAAACGACGTAAAAAACTGGCAGACATATACATCATTTTTGAACCTATACATCGGTTCTTTGCTTTCTCGTTGGTTGTACTTGAATTAGCTGAAGCTAGCTTGATCTCGGTATTATAGCACTCCTTCCGTGCCAGTCAAATAATATCAAGTACCCAGAAATCCTTCATTTCATAGAAGACTAAATCCTTTTTTCTTGTACCTCATTGGTTAAATTAATTATGGACAAACTGGCTATGCTCACGCTGTTTGAAGCGTATTTTGTTTATACAGCTATTTTGTACCTGTCATTTTTGTTTGACTGCTTTGTGATTTACTGTTGTTATCTCAACTTTAACTAATTGTGATTTATTGTAGAACCACATATATTAGTGTTTTTCTTTGAAATTCGTTCTCCAGGTTAGAGTTTTTTAACAAAGTTCTTTTTCTACGGCTTAGGGTTCCAGACCCCATGTCCAACCTTTATCTTTTACCGGGCTCGGGACCGTCAGTGACCCTAGAAGAGCTACAGGTAATAAACCATATATATTATTCATATATGAATGTTTCCGAATAAGCAATATAGCTTTCTGACTCAGAGAGATCTTCGGTGTGTTATTCAATTGAATTTAAATTGTATTTTGGCGAATTTCAGTGGGTAACTCAGTTTGTAATTGTCTGTTAAGATGAATTATGATCTTTGTTTGGTTGTAGGCCGTAAATTTAATAACGGTTTCTTCATACCTTTTTATACTCAAACTTCGTAACAGTTATATTACTGAAGAACGCCCATTTCAGCGAATAGTTTTTGTTGTGTTCGCTTTGCTACAATTACTCAAACAAATTTCATCGTAGTTATCTATTTTTAACTCCTTTTTTTGAAAATTCACCGTTTGTTTTTTCATAGGATATTTCTCATAAATGAAACTTACATTAATTGTGTTGGAAATTTCTTACTTTGCTTTTTGTGTATTTCAGGGTGATTACTATGGTTTTACCAATATATTGCTTATTTGTACCACTGAAGGTGACAGTAAGTTCAAATTTTTGTTCTACTGTCTCCATATGTTAAAATATTATTAATTTTAAGAATTTAGAATTTATTAATATAAGCGTTTTTATTTAACCGATAAATTCCACTGTATAATGTGATCATGACTATGAAGAGAATTTGAATCACGCGTGCGGGATCGTGGATGTCAACTGCCGAGTCCCATACTAAGACGAAACAGTTGTCCAGTGCTTCCAGGTTTTCAGTGGTGGTTTAACATTGATCAATTCATGATCCCAATCATAAACTCAACATTCTTCACAACCCCATATTGATAATTAACATGTGCTCACTAGTGACAAGCTTCGAGTGGTTACTCTCGGAGTTCTAGTGATAAGCCGTGACCAGTAAAACTAATCTGTTTCGGGTGTGAGGCAGTAACACATCGAAGACGATCGATTTCGTGGATTGGTTGGAGCTAGACATTAACAACTTTGGATGCTGGTTCGGTGGTCTTGAGGTCAAGCGTTCGCTCGCGAAGCCGAAAATCCTGGATCCGAATCCCGCGTGCGGGGACTCCCATACTAGGGCAGGACGGCCGTCCAGTGGTTACAGGTTTTTAATGGTGGCCTAACATTCATCGGTCCATGATCTCAATCCAAATACCATTTCAATTAAATTTTGAAACATAGTCGATTCGTGATTAAGCGATAAATTGGTGACGTAGTTTTCCATAATCAAAACTAAGCAGCTGGATATATCAGCAGTTAAGTTCTTCAGTTGAATTTGATGGAATTATGTATATTATGGGACACCACTGAGTAAATATTCTATTTTCCATAACGATCTCATATTATGTCAAAACTTTATTCCGCCGTAAAGGCAAATCAGTTATTGCTTAAGTCCAACAGTACTCTGTATACTTACAATATATATGTTTTTATTTCTATAAATGTTTTGGTGTATTATTTTTCTGCATATTTTAGTACGCTGTTATTCTGTAAGCCATTCAAAGAATTACTTGAATTCAGAATCATCTGAAGATACTTTACGTCATTTAATCACTAAAAGACAAGTAAACGAAAATAGTAACTAATGAGTATAATATTATTTTTCACTAAATTTCATTTTATAAAATGGCCAAATATTATGTGACTGATAAGCTGCCTTAGAAGAAATTGTGATAACCAGTTTTCTCTGCAATCGATCATTCACTTTTGGCATATGTGCATCCCGTGAGGATTTTCTCAATGTTCCCATTAAGTCATAGGCATTATAAGCACGGTTGGACAGTTGTTAACAGTGTAATCCAGGACTTGCATTTCGTCAGTTGGATATGCCTGCATTCCAAAGTTGATTAATTAAAATTTGCTTCATTACACACGCTAGTGGCTATCTGGACTCAGGAGCTAAGTGAGTAATGCAATAGGATTTGAAACAGACGGTACTAGGTTCGAGTTTAGGAGTGAACATCAACCATGGAATGCAAGTATATCCAACTAAATTCTCCTCTGTCTAAGTTAATGCTTTATTTCGGTAACTGCTTTTATAAAAGTTGAAATATTGTGTTTTTCGGATGATGTCTTCAAACGGAAAACTTAGATTGTAAAATAACTTACAAACTATTCTTGTTCATGGTACACATTTCCAAAGATCGATTAAATTAATTACTAAAAAATGTTTCTTACATAAGATATTCCAAACAATACGTATTCGAGTTCATACCTACTAGGAAGTTAATAAGTCTCGTTCGTAATCTGTCGTGTTGCCATACCTATACTAGATAGTGTTTAACACACTGTTTAGGACTGGTACAAACGTCTATGATTTTTAGTATACTGAGGATTTTATATGTCTCGTTTTGCATAACAATTTTACTTTTTCACTTTGGAAATAGTTCATTTTTCTACAATGTTACAACAACAAGTGTACTTATTCCGCTGATAGCCATAACACTTTTTATTCCTAAAGTACAAAGATACCTTAACTGAGTTTCAGATTATATAAGTATACCATTAAAGAAATCATTCAGTTAAGTTCTGACTGACTAATGGTACAACGAACACATATCAACAATTTCTTTCATTATAATAACAATAGTTTCATTTTTATCTATTTTTGTAATATCCCTAAGAAAAAGTGATATTCAACATTTTACTCATATTTTACATATTAACATTAATTAGTAATAAATATTGGTTGGTAACCACTATCAATTACTATGTATCATGAGATTAATATTTAGTATGAATGAATTTTTGTTTGTATTGCTTGAATTATTTTGGACTAACATTGTTGACGTTTAAATTTAGTACAGGACTTATTATTCATCAACTGCACATTAAACTTCTATCACAATTCATAACAAGACTATTAAATCATTCAATCTTTATGAAAGAAGACACCATTAGGTCATGTATTTTTTCCTTCGTGTTTAGTTATATCCATCTAAATATGTCCATTGTAGTCAACAAATATAGAATTACATTCAATCAGAAAATTTATTGTATCGGATCCATATTATTTTTTATGACTGAACTTAAAATATAATGATCTGACAACTTTGCATATCATTAGAAATTAAAATTACATACTGAATATTACTAGACAATTAGTTCGTGAATCAATTTAACGGTTACGTAACTAATGACTTTGGTATCGTATGTTAAATTTGATTATACTATTATTGTCATTTGAGTAAATAATTCTAATTGTTGAAGTAAGTATTTCGTCTTTTGTTTAAAACTTATACCATGGATACAACTAACTTTATACTGTTCAATGTTTTATTTTTTTAAAAAAAAAACAGAATTTACTATTGGAGATTCAAAGTATTGATCAAAATAGCAATTTATCCCAATGGAGTAAAACTGAAATTCGTCAAGGAAACCTTAATATCATTAAAGTAAAAATATATATGTTTCTTTCTTTCTGTGTTATGATTTAGTATCATAGTTACAACTATTTCATATTTTTACAATTAGGAATTGTGTTTTTTTTTAAAATCGGACCTTTGCTACTTACAAATAAGACAGTAGATATTCGAAAGTTGTTAACACTTAGTTCGTACATGTTTATTATAGTTTAAGAAGACCAGTTTTAAAACCTGTAAACAACTCATAGAATTGTTGGTGTTAGATAAAGTAATATACTTTTCAGTTAAAGAATTTTGTTTTCTATACTACTAAATGGAGATAAGTAATCATTAAAGAATCTCCGTAATAAATTTGAAGCAGTTACTATCGATATATAATTTTGTTCCATCACTCGGTGCTTAGTGTTGATGTTGACTGAGTAGATTGCCAAGTTTAGTCATTGTTAGATCTACCTCTAGTCTGTCAGAATTCTGTAATTTGAAAGTTTTATCAGAGTTTTGTGGTGTCACTCTTATCAGTTGACTTAGGACATAGGATCTAGAAAAAAGATGACGTCAGAAGAGCGAACAGTTGAATAAGCACACGGAATGTGCTTTAGTCTTTATAAAAAGTTCAAACAATATTATTTATTGTTTCACAGATGTGAATACAACGCAATCGAGGGACCAGGACATGAGGCAAGGTGAATAAATAACCTTAATCGTCACTTGATTTAAACTGTTTATTTACATTAATCATTAAAACGAACTGAATGGTACAGTTAACACTCAGTTTTAACTAGATATTTACATGTACTTGTACCCAAACGATAAGACAACGTTTGGATTCGATTGCAATATCTAAACTATTTTTTAGCTGACAGAGTGACGTGAATAAAACTACTATTCTAATACTTAATATTGAGATTATTGTGATTATGAATGAGAAAACAAACCAGTTTACATGGATATTTCTTTGAAAAGTGAGGTGCTGGAAAATGACAGATAAAACAACCAGCTCATTGTCATTTAATATAGACTAAGCTTTTTTGTGGGAAAATTTTTTGACCTATCCAAGTTTAATCCCATAGTCGTTTAGTTACTTTGAATAAACGTTACCTCTGTTTTATTGAGAGAATAATGTAGTGTCTGATATTTCAGACAGATATCCTCGTTATGACATCCTGACTTCATTCTATCATTCCATTTATAAAGGTATCTCTTCATCCAAATTGATTCATTACGTATCGTGTATAAACCACCATTTTCTTAAATTTGATCCTTAAGTGTGTAATCATTTGATAATCCGTAAATTTCCGAGTTAATACAATAAGACTCAATTTATTTTAGAATCAAGTAGTTTTCAAATTGTGTTTGCTGAGTAATAACTTAAAAAGTTTTCTAATTTTATGTATTTCTTAATTTAATTTACTTGGAGGTGGTATTTTCCGTCGACAAGTTTCATGTCAAAAACATAACATTATGACATTTTTATAAAAGCGGTGGGATTATGGTAATGTTATGTCATAATACTGATTAGTGTTGGTAAAAGTCAAAAGTTATTTTTATTTGACAAATAGTAGCATTGATTAAATAAATGAATTTATTTATTATAATCAGATAACTGCCAAGCTTAGGTCGAAAGGAAACTTTGTCTTACATGGACAGTTCTTCACTTACTTACTTCCTTATGCCTATTACTCCTCGTGAAGGAGCGGAAACGTCCCACCAGCACTCTCTATCCAACCCTGTCCTGAGCAATCCTTTACAGATATTTCCACCTATTCTTCATCCTTTTCATATCTGCTTCTATTTCTCGACGTAATGTGTTCTCTGACCTTCCACTTTTCTCCTTCCCTTCAGGATCCCATGTTAGGGCTTGTCTCGTGATGCAATTTGATGATTTCTGTAATATATATCCTATCGATTTCCATCGTCTTTTTCTTATTTGCTCTACTGCCGTAGGCTGTTTTGTTTTCTGTCACAGTAGGCTGTTGCTGATGGTATTCGACCAATGGATGTTGAGTATGTTGTGCAGACAATTATTTATAAATTCTTGTACCCTCTTGATGATGGTTGTGATAGTTCTTCACGTTTCGACTCCGTACAGTAGAATAATTGGAGAACATATCGAACTCCAAACAACTATCTGCAAGTCAATATCAAAGTCATAATCTTGCTTTGCTATAATGCTCTGTCAATCCTCACTTTTACGTCTGCATCTGACCATCCTCTACATCGATGACGCTTCCCGGAATTATAAAGTCGGACAGTTCTTTAATAAATAAATAATGACAGCTTTCTAACCAAATATATTCTAAATTTTTCCATGAAAATCTTAGAAGATAAATAAGTGATATATTTGTTTTCTTTACAGGCTAATACAGAATTACAGACTAAACTGGAAATTTCTCCTGATAAACCATGTGTTAATCTGACAATTCAAACAAATGATGGTAAGTTAAACTATAAATTTTGTGGAAGTTAACATATTGTCTTCTTCATAGACATAACTCAGCTAGCGAAACAGTTGTTTCATAAATGTTCAGAACTCTTCATCAACGCGCCACCTCAAAATCTCACGAGGTGCACAATGCATTCAGATCATTGCTTAGTGAAATAGCGTGATAGTTGTTTGATATCATTAATGTCGACTATCTTCATTCATACATGCTTGAAATCCTCCATAGCTATAAATTAGCTTGTTTGCAAATGCCATTGTTTCTAGATTGATTCGAGTATATAATAATGAAAGGTGAATATTTCACAGTATAACATAATGACCATTTAAGTAAAAAAACATACACATTATCATCTGAATTTTCGACTTGGTTATATCAACTTCCGCGAGATGAAAACTAAAAATGTCCTATTTACAAAAATAGTTTTTCTTTGAATACACTTAGTGTTACATAATCTTTAGGGTTCTATAAATAAATGTATACATAACTTTTCTTAGAACTAATAGTTAATGATTAGCAAGTAGTTTTCAACTGTTCCACCCAATTACATGTGTCAAAATGATAAATGATAAGTTAACTCTGTCATTAGTGCCAATCTAACCATCAGCACATTTGACTTATTTAGTTAACGAAAAATAAAATTCGTAATATAATAGCAGTATAATCTAACTTCTTGGTGTTGATAATTACTCATGAATTACATATTAAGTAATAAAAAGTACCCACTACTGTAATTGATATTTTTACTGAGGTTAATCAAGGTAAATTCAATAATTAGTAAATATTTATCTTATTTATTTTAGGTACACTTTTAAGATGTGTTGTATTATTTGCTGAAGGTATTTTCAAAGACGAAAGTCATGTTTTGTAAGTTAGTAATTTGTATGCATAGTGTAACATATTTTTTGATTGAGATCATGAACCGATTAATGTTAGGCCACCATTGAAAACCTGGAAGTACTGGATGGCCGTTTCGTCCCATTGTGAGACTATTCAGCAGTGCGCATCCACAATCCCGCTCCAAGGATTTGAACCCAGGGCCTTTAGTCTCACGCGCGAACGCTTAACTTCTAGACAACTGAGTCGGCATCCGATGGTGTTAATGTCCAACCTCAACCAATACGCGACCACCTTTCATTGTACAGAGGTAGACACCAGTCTCTACCTGACACGGATTAGCTCCACCGGTTACAGCTTCTCATTAGGACACCTAGAATTTTCTCACAAAGCTAGTCACTTGTGAGCACATGCTAACCATCAGTATGGGGTTCATGATTCAGTAAGTTTGTCGTGATTTGTTGCCTGGGGATTTTTCCCATGACTAACTACTATGCCAAACACTGTTAATCGTTGGATAAGTACTGGTTATATATGAGTAGCTTATTTCTTAACCACCTTAATCAATGATTATTGATGACCTAATTAGTCGGCTCGTTATTTTTTCTTAAAACTATATTTCTAACTTCTCACTCGGTGGTTTTACTGTATTCAAGGAATGTTTTGAAGATACGATTGATTGATTGCTAGTAGCCACTATGTTTTCCACTTTTATAGATCAGCTTAAGTGATCGTGGAGTAATACAGAAATGAATGATACTCACTATTCCCATATGTACATCGATAAACTGACATCCTGCTCATGCCACAAGTTGGTTAGATCCAAACAAGATTTATGATAAGACTGATGTTCATTATGAATAGCAGAATTTCTGTTGGTAAGAATGAATCTTACAATATAAAATGGATGAATTACAACTTGCGCTGGAGTCCAAGCCGCACGTTTTGTTCTATTCGGGACTCGTATATATATATATATGTATATTCAGTTGACAAATTTTAAATAGAGAGAAATGTCTGTCCTGAATTTCACTGTTAGCCACATTCCATCTATTCCATATTAACTTGTTTTATAAGGACTGTAACGAGGCACTCCGTTCATTATGCACACATACCAAATAAATCATCTTGCAATGTTTGATTCTTCATATGAATGTTGAAATTTTTTTCTAAATGTTTTTAATGAGTGGAGTTTTAAGGTGTACTGATAAATCTTAACATAGATGAAATGTAATGGCTAGTAAAGTTGTTGCTTATTTTTGACGATGAGAGTAATATATATGTTCCTTAATTTTTAGTTTTACATTGACATAATAATACGGAAAAATATAAATAAACTATTCATTTAACACTTTAGACATCCTCCAGAGAACGTTTCTTATACTTCCACATTTTCAATCGAATTATATCCAACAAGAGATATAGCAACTGATGTATTCATCAAAGCATATGCAATACCGATAAACAAATGGCAAGTGAATACTTAAAATGAATATATATGTATATATATGTACTTGTAAATTTGAATTTTATTTTGTGACAGATATAAAATGTTAACAGTTAAATTGACAAGTCGATCTAAGTTAGACCACCATTGAAAACCTGAAGGCAATGGACGGCCATTTCATTTTAGTATAGGACTCTTCAACAGTGCGCAGTGTAAAATTGTTCTTTTTTCAACTTTGCCAAGAAATCCTGTTGAACCAAAATGAACTACTTTTTTCTCGCTAGAACTAGGTAAAGACTGATGTTATAAACGGAAGAATATGTGAACAGATGAAATAATGTGTATTAATGGTTAAAGTAATTAGTCCCTTTTTATAAATTTCGATAGAACAATGAGAAGACGGAATTGATCGGTAAAATGTGATGTATTTGCGCTATACATTTCGAACAATCTGGTCACACATATACTTGTCAGGGCATTTTATATGAAAATTGATAATGGTCAATTAAATGAAAGTTTAAGTAAAAAAGTAACAAAGAAGAGAGAAACAATTGTACATCGTATGGAAAGAATAAGAAATTGTCAAGTTATCCTAGGCCATAGAATGATTTAAGGATTACTGAGGTAAATCCAAGGTTACGACGAATTGTTTTTGTACATATAAGGAAGGGATTTAAATTTACGAAAAGCCAAGACTTCAATAAACTTGAGAATTCGTCCTTGACAGTTTCTATACAGCGTTTTAAAAGCTGTATTTATGTCAATTTTATGCCTCCTTTCAATTATTTGTTTTGCTATCGATAAACTTGATTTTCTGCCTCCCACGTTGGTCGGATCGTTTGACGCACATTGATTTTGAAGCCATCTAGGCACATGTTCAATGACCCTTGATTGCATTGTTCGGTTACTCCTCTCTATGTATGTGTGTCCACACAAACATCTAAATTGGTAAATACAATGGGATGTGAGGTAACCATTAGTGCATTGTCTAGGTCTATTTAGAATCCTGGGCTTAGACTTTTCAATCACAACCAATTGAGCAGGATAATAGGTTTTCTCGATGGCTCCTCTCAATCTCTGTCGTAAAACTATGCTTTTGGATTAACCTGTATATTGTAGATGGATATAAACTCTTTTCTTTGAAACTGAATAAACAATTACTGGTTAATCGATTATAAATATTGTTGGAATATTTGATAAATTCATGCTGAAATTTAGTATTTCCACTTTTATCTATAAGAATTTGTCATCAGTTTTAAGTTTACTCGTTAGAATATTTTGAAATTTCAGTGTAAAACCGATGCTATGAGAATGTTATCATTACAATTCTTATTACTTAATAATGATATACTTATCAAAGGTATATTCTTTAAAGAAAAACTTAACGGAACCTATGAAGAATAGAGAGAAAACATTGTTAGTAGTAAACCTGGAAACGTTTCAATGATTTTGAAGAAAATCTATTTCTTTAACAATTTCAAATGAATTTAAGAGACCCCATTTGATTGTCGTCCGATTTTTATCGATTATATTATATTCAAATCATGATCTTTATTTATCCGATGAATCTTTGGAGAGTATATGTCGTATATAATTCGAATAAATTCTAAATAATTTTACATCCATGCCTATTCCAACTGGACTTTGTTTGAAAAAATAAACTATTCTGCGATAAAATTTCAACGTAAAATGGTTACACTAAAGAACTTCATAATTAAAAATGTATAAAGAATTAAAGTCAGTTTCAAACCTAATTGTTTATCGCACAAATTTTCCTTTTTTGCTAAAGAATAACAGTCAAGTCAATGATAATAGTGTTGAGGGTTGACTACGTTATCTATTTCTCACGTTTAGATGTTACTGTCTGCCGGGTAGTCCGTATACATTTAGCGAAGCTATTTGATCCACACCTTAGCTATCAGAAACCATGTCAATGAAAAAAAGGCGTGGAGCACATCTCAAAAATATAAAGCCGTATGTTAGAATAGAATTTGGCGTTTTCGTCAACTAATTGTTTGAATGGATCATCTATTTAAGCCAACAACCTTGAATAATTTACTGAAGGCATCAAAATCGTATGGAACTATATTGTTCATTACGTAAACTACGTATTAGTGTAAAAATGTCTCATTAAAAAGCCTTAACGGATCCACATACTTTTATTATCATTGTGGCATCTATAATGGACCCCTTTTTTAAATAATTTTGAACAATTTGCTGAATTGAAGAATCAACAATTTTTGGAGTAGAACCTGATAACCTCAACAATTTAATACAATGTAGTGCTATATGGGAATTATTGTACATTTAGAAGCTATAAGCATTTGAACTTTCATTGCCTTTTTAGTATTAAGGTGTATGTCTGTCAACATAGATATGTTGAACACAGTCTTCATATACTGATGAAATGAATTTCTTATGCATAACAATACTATTGTCAAAAGTTTTATATATATTCAGGTATCAAATCTTGGGTGAGTATTTATCGTACATTATCCTGTATATATAATGAGTGAATTAGGTCACAGACAATCCGGTGTTATTACATTTAAAAGTATTTTATTTCTGATCTTAAATTTGTATCTTAATAGTTCAGACCAAAACTCCTACTACTTGTTGGCTAGCACGCAACTGTTGCCGCAGTTTTGCCTCTATCGATTACTCAGTCAAAGTCCCAAATTAGACTTTCATGCTGATTTAGATAGTTTGCGATCAGGAGTCTTCTTTATAGTGCATGAACGACCTCAAAGGGTAAGTTAGTAAAAACAAATCTTGTTAATTTTATAATATAAGTTCTTAAAACGAATTTTTTATCACCAAAATATAGTCTAAATAAATGAAGTACACAATTGTATATTTCGGTAGTTGAGATCATGAGTCAATTGAAGTTAGATCACCATGGAAAACTTGGGAGCACTAGACGGCCGTTTCGTCCTAGTGGTTAAGCGTTCGCGCGTAAGGCCGACAGGTCCTGGGTTCAAATTTCGCGAGGCGGGATCCTCGACGCTCACTGTTGATGAGTTTCATATTAGCCCAGTACTTCTAGGTTCTCAATGGTGGTCTAGCTTCAAATGACTCATAATCTCAACTATTAAAATTACTACAATATCCACAAAAACCCCTTCTGATAATAATTGTATATTTATTAAATACTGTAAACAGATGAGTTTCCCTGAAAGATTTTACGGCCGTTTGATATATAATTCTATTCCATTTATAATCTTACAAAATAAAATGAGATAATAAAGTTTGAAAATGTATTTCTCAATTAATTAAAAATCAAGTTTACTCTTGTTACTTATTCTCACTCCTATGACGATTTTTATAAGTCTACATATGCTCATGTTAATACGAATAAGTAGCGAAGATAATTGATCTGTGCTGCCGGTGTTGATAAAACGCATCAAAATGGCTTCCAAGTCAGTTAGCATCATGAAATTGTCTATATGGTCATAAGAAGCTAACAGCCATTCTTTTCTATAGCGAAACATAATTAAGAGAAATTAAGTCAATCTTAAACCCTTGCATATAAACTGTAAGGCATGCACTAATGAGCTAACAGAAACTATAATCACTGAAAATATTTTAAAAATTTTTTAAGTGTCCGAAAACCAATGGTTCTGAATATGAAATTACTTACTTACACCTGCTATCCCTCATTGAGGAACATAGGCCGCCGACCAGCACTCTTTATCCAACCCTGTCCTAAGCAATCCTTTACAGATCTTTCCACCTGTTCTTCATAATTGTTATATCTGCTTCCAATTCTCAGAGCAGAGTGTTCTTTGGCTTTCCTCTTTTCCCCTTCCCTTCAGGATTCCATGTTAAGGCTAGCCTCGTGATACAGTTTGATGATTTCTGTAATATATGTCCTATCGATTTCCATCGTCTTTTTCTTATTTGCTCTACTGCCGTAAGCTGTTTTGTTTTCTGTCACAGTAGGCTGTTGCTGATGGTCTTCAGCCAATGGATGTTGAGTATGTTGTGCAGACACTTATTTATAAATTCTTGTACCTTCTTGATGATGGTTGTGATAGTTCTTCACGTTTCGACTCCGTACAGTAGAAATGTCTGGATGTTCGTGTTGAAGATTCTGACTTATATATTGGCTTGCAGATAGTTGTTTTGAGTTCCATATTTTCTTTACTTGTAGAAATATGAACTTAGTTTGAGACTAATTAATTTATTCAACATTGAGATTGATGCAACAAATTGATGTTCTCTAGATATTATTCAATCTCGATCCTAGATCCTTAATTACCATTTATTTGTTTGACTTTTAATAAATTTCGCTGAAATGTATTACTGTTATTATATTGGTAAATATAGTTATTGCTCAATGATTAATGCTTGAAAATAATCATTAAAGTGTTTACTTATAACTTATCTGTTTTTACTGATTGATTCATGATTGATTTTAAATTGGTTGGAAACTCTTGAACAGTCTTTATTACTAGCTTCATTTGCTTATGATGTCATCTAAATAATTATAATTTATTTTTCTGTTCAGTAGACTGTCAACTTTATGCTTGCAATATATACCTTTATTTCTCAATAAACGTTTCATTTCATGCTTTATTTTCATTTAAAATTCAGTGATAAAAATGTGAATAATCTTGAAACCTTAGATAAAGATGATTTCGGTGTAGTGGGTTCTAGCGACCTGCTTGAATATCTGAACTATCTGTTTCTGACTTCTAGATATTTCAACAAGTTATTTATTTATTTGTTTATTTTAACAAATCATTATGTCTATTAATCGCATAAACTATTTAAGGGGGTTTTTGAAAACTATACGACCTTCTTCTGTATAAGTTTTAAAAAAGTAAAATCAGTGACATCGTGATGACTGGCAAAGTACATTGAAAAGAACGAACATTATTCAAATGAACTGCTAACATCTACCTGGCGATTACTCAATATTTATCGTAAGGATCGTCCAAGAAATAAGAAATAAGGAAACTTGTTGAAATACTTTGTGTTGAGAATTTTATATTATACCAAAATATAATATTGAATTAATCCATTAATAATAATAATCATTTAACAATGCGATGTTATACTTTCATACAAACATTTTCATTTTCACTGATAAGTATTTTTATGTGATAATCTTTGTGGCAAGTTATTATGATCAAGGGCTTGAGTTGTTTCTTATTAAATGACAAATTAATCTATAATAACCATTTTAATAGTTGAGATCATGAGTCAATTGAAACTAGATCACCATGAAAAACCTGGGTCTGTTGTGAGATAGTAACTCACTGAAGACAATGGTGGATGGACGCGCAATTACGTGAATTTGTTAAAGTTAGATATTAACACCGTTGGTCTAGAGGTTAAACATTCACGCATGAGAATGAACGTCCTGGGTTCGAATCTCGCGAGGCGGGATCCTCGATGCGCACTGTTGATGAATCTCACATTAGTCCATTACTTCTAGGTTCTCCATGGTGGCCTAGCTTCAAATGACTCATGATCTCAACTATTAAAATTACTATTATATTCACAAAAACCGCTTCTGATACTATAATAACCAGTAAACGACATATTTGCATTGTCATGTATTCACTATTCATATAACTAGTAAACAAACGATTATTTCTATTGAAAATACACAGAACAAACATATTGATGATTCTTATGACATAAGAAAATTACAAGATATATTTTATTTATATCTTAAAATAGCTTGCTATTTGGTTAAATCAAAATTTTATTCTGGGATCAGAAATTATAGTCAATGAACAATCTTCATTATTTGTTGTTTTTGAAGAATTACGCTCAGCTAATAGATGGATTTCAGCAATAAATAAAAATTTGAATGAAATATTAAATAATTTCATTGTTCAGCAACAGAATTCAAAACGTTTATTATACATAACTATGACAAATAAAGGTGAAGTAAGTAATAAATGTATGAAGTCATTGAATTTTCAATGAAATCACTATATTGTTATGATGTAATTCAAAATAAATAAGTTTAATGACAATTTCATTCAATGAAATAAACATTGAATGGAAAACATTAGCACGTTGAAATGTTTGTCAAAAATCTGTTTGTTAACTTCATTTTCATACTCAACAAGTGAATGATGTAAGAGATCAATGAGACTAGTTAATAGAACAAGAAGTTTTAAAAATGTCAAATCATTCTAGAATTCAACGACTGTTATGTAACTTTGATAAACTCAACTTGAAAAAGTAAAATTATTTCAATCGCTTTAATTTTGTCAGTTGATCTAAGATACCTTTATTGTATTGAATTAAGTTTTTAAAATAATCTACTTGATAAGATGGACAATGAATCCCTCACTTATATATTCATATACATGATAAATGTTAGTTTATTCATTACTATATCTGCCTATTGGTCGTATTATTTTACTCTTGTGTCTAAAATAATTTATTCGAAGTACTTCGTTTTACCTTTTGAATACCGTAAATCATTGAGATTTATTATGATAATGATTGTGTGGTCATTATGTGTACGAACGCTCAACACATTCCTATGAACATTTGCTTGCAGAAATTATCTTAATTACTATCCATACTAGTCTAAATTCACAAAATTGATTTACTTTTTATCGCCAAACTGATAATTACATGATTATTGATGAATTTTGTTCTACAATAAAAAAATAGAGTATATTGTTGTAGCTAATTGAACTCCATTATGTCAGGAATGAGACAGTTAACATTGATAATATCAGATAAACACATGAATTATTCAATTCAAAGTAGACAATAACACATTTTTATACTTATTGACATTACTTAAAATCTTGAATGTGTAATCGTGAATACACATTACTGAAGAGTCTGTAAGTTTATGGACAAAACATTTCTTTAAATTAAGTTAAACAGTTACTGTTGAATAACTCTTGATTTTTTTCGTTTGTTTTTATTTTATTCAAAAGATTACAATAAAAACTGAAAATTTAGAATTAGCTGCAAACTTAGTTCAATCAATCAGTCGACATTTCAATATAACAGAACTTTCAAGCACATGTGATTTTCCAGAACTATTTAATACATTAGAAGAACTAATTGAAATGGTTAGCAATGAGTTTTAATTTTGAATAAATTTACATTGGCTTATAACACTATAGATATATAATGACTAGTTATTTACTATAAATATTGTAATTGAAAATTGATAGGAATATTATTGAAACGTAATTCTATTACATATGAGTGCATCAATGTATATAGCTAGAAGGAGTTATAGTTTACATCTGTAAACGTTATGAGAATTTAATAATTGTGAACTTATATTAGTAGTATTATATTCATTGTTAAGATCACAATACTATTTAACTAAGTGTATTGCTTAGAAACTAGTATTTGCATGATAATATTTCAAAACAAATAAATTAGAAATTCCAGGAATGAAATAATAGTAATAATAATAGTAGTAAGTAGCACATTAAGTGTATGCATACTTTGAATAGGGAATATCAGGTGTTCATATTTTCTCACTATTAATTATATTTGTATATTGGTCTATATCTACTGAGGCTCCAGTTTATCATACAAAACGGAGTAGCACACATAATTCATATGCCTATGTCTTAAGACACATGTTAGTTCTTCTAGCGATTGTTTCCATCAGAGGTACTAAATCACACTGTAACAGTCAAGTGCTTTATATATATGATGTTCTAGGTACTTGAATTAAATCACTTTCAACAGATCGTTATTGGGATGAAATCGTTGCTAAAGCAAACTGATTCTACTTTCCTTACATGTTTATTTCATAAAGTTTTATAAAGTCTTTGGAGAAAATTAATGTTATACATCGTTAATATCTAGTTATTCAATGCCCCAAATACCCTGGTACGGCCGAAAGTGGGGAGAGTCAGATCAACCTCTCGAAATGCTCTCACATGGCCTCGTTCATACAACCACTGCCAGGGAAGTCCTACTCACTGCCTTCTCGCGGAATCTCTGTTGTTTACGAAATTGAGAGGACGAAAAGCGAATGTCCGGCGATTTGACCGGGTTGGTGGACACGAAGAATCCACCTAGGGGAATTGGAAAACCCTGATTCCAAATCAATGGTGCACATGGGCTGCAGTATCCTGAAGGAACGAATGGAGTATGAACAAATCATTGATCACTGGCTACCATGGGATTGCATCTCCTGACGTTGCTTCAGTGCCTTGTGAATCAGACCTTTAGGTCAAATCCTCCGGGGTGTGGCTGCCTAATAGAACCACCTGCTTCAGTTTGAACACTCGGGGAGTATTCTAGTCCTCAAACAAATCGAATGATTTATATGGCGTATAGCTATTTGGTGCCTCTTGTACCAATGTTTATGTGTTTAAATAAATAAATAAGTATTCACCTCAATAGCGTACTATTTATATTCGTAAGATCATAGAGAGTTCAACACTTATTCTAAATTAATTTTCTGAAAATAAAATATGACTCATATCCTCTAAGTTAAAGCTTCAATTTTTGAACAAACCACAATAAGTATGCTTTTCAAATAACTATTTTTCGTATCAAAACTACTGTTGATAAATTACATTGTGTTTATCACAACCATTCAATATTAGAATAATTAATATCATTCTTTTTATCTTGTTTTATAAAATATTTCGTTAGTCTAATGCTTATTCTTTAACTCAACAACAAATTTTGATGGATATGACAATTAAATCAGATGATATCAAAAGATTAGTTGTCAAAGCAGAAGATTATCGATTAGCCGGCAATTGGTATGTCAATCATTCATGATTTATGAATGTTTAAAACAAGTAATCCATTTGATAAATTTAAGAAAGTGTAATAAGAAGACGAAGATTATCAGAACTATGTAATGCTAATAATAATAATAAATGAAATCAATGTTTTTAAGTGAACAGTGAGAAGTTATTTTGGTCCTTAGAACAAACAATAAAAAATTTTATTTCTTTTTTCCATTTTAAAAGTTTGATGCCAAAATTGCACAACATCATAGAATACTGATGTTGGAGATGAAATTAGAATTATTGAGGCTATTTGTCATTAAATTAACCAATAAGTATAGAATAAATTGAAACTTCATCTCTAAAAACTTATGATTTCATAAAATATATCCATATTAAATATAGAATAAATGGGATATAGGTAGCAATAGAATCCAGAAAATGCATCTAGCTGAAAATTTTGAAAAAGGAAGAATAGCGCGTCGTGCATCGTACCGCTTATTACATTCCACCTGTGCTATAAAAAATTTGCATCATGATAGCTATATTGAGGCAAATCGCATATGACAAACGTGTATCAACCAAGAGTGATCAAAATTCAGTGAAAATATCTACAACCATTGCAAACTAAATTATTTCCTTAAAAGTTGTTGGCTCAAAATAATATGATTAAAGCTAGATCTAACTACAGAATGAGTGAAAGTTAACAATTCACTAAATAGTTTCACACTGGAATAAAATCAGTTGTGATTGTCAGCTTTATGATTTTGTAATATACCGTTAAGTGATACAAATTAGTTTTTGATAATACAGTCTCATATTTCATGATTAGATGTTGTTGATTGTTTCGATGGTTACTTCTACTTAGTCATGGACCCCTCGGAAACAGTGCTGGGAAATTTGAGGACCACTGAGTGATCCATGTTAAGATCAGGTACAGAGTAATATGCAATGATATTGCTACAAACTCATATTTGATACGGATTTTAACTGAAGGATATGTTAAAATAATTTCTTCATGGGTGTGATCGTTTTCTGTCACTGAAACTTCAACATTTCACATTCATTGCGTAATACATCTTGAGTACAACAATTCCTATCCATTTCTTGTTTGTTCAAAGAATTTCGAAGAAAAATGTTCCAAACGCCTTCGTACTTCAGCCTAAGTTTTGGAGTATTTGACAGGAGTATAGGTTGAAAACAATATATTAAGAAAACTTAGATCAGATGTACAGTTAAATAATCAATTTCTAGTCGATTGTAGCATCTGTAATCTTATTACATTAGTTCACTCTGGAACTCGAACCTAGTACCGTTCGCTTCAAACGCCATCGCGTTATACACTTAGCTATTGAGTCCTGATAGCCACTTGTATATGCAATGGGTTGAAGTTTAAATTTATTTGATATTGTTTACTTGAATCTTCCCATTGATGTTTGGACTGTAATTGATAAGTCTCTTATTGGCAAGTGTGCATATTGTGCGTATTGGCTTGATATTGCCTTAATTTACAAGTATTATAATCAAAGTTGGATAGTGGCTAGCAGTGGAATCCAGGACGCACGTTTCGTCTTATTTAGGACTCGTCACCTGGATGTATCTGCATCTCAGAGTTGGTGTTCACTCCGGGCTCGAACCCAGTACTATTCGTCAGAATACATTTGAATAATTTAAAAACCGAATATCAACACAACTTCAAATGAATAACATGAATGAAAAGTCGGCAATACAAACACGTAAATAATAATAACAGGTTAACAAAATTACTATTAAGCTGCTTCTGATCATCTGTCACAGTTTACCTAAAATATAATTAGTTAACCGTAATTTTCCTAATTAAATATTTACAGAAAATTTATTGTTAATTGTATCATTCAATTACTGATGTCGTTTGAAATTATCCTCTTATTACATTATTAAACTATTTCCATAACGGATATAATTCATATGATTTTATCATTAATTTTTCTTGAAGGAAATCTTTGAAAAAAACAATCCAGTTATTGTCAATCGCAAATCATGACCTTATGTCGAATTATTATTCACGGACTACTAATTATGAAGTTTCAATGGATTGCTTGAAATATATTAACCAAATCACTGAACATGTTAGTTCATTAAGAGGTAATTCATTTGACATATGTATATCAGCTATCATTGTGTTTAATTCAGGTTTTATATTAAATTAGTGTCAAACAAATACACTAAATTTATAGATATGAAACTTGAATTTAAAGTTATTTAAAATACCTGCTCTCTCAAACTAACCTCTCAATTTACGACTATCATTCCTTTTTAAACTAAGTATCTTAGTCCGTAAAGACGTAAGATTATAACATGTTTATTACAAGTAGAAACAAATTATTTTTTGTAGGAGTTTTGTTCTCTGAGCTGGATGGTTTTGTCTTGGAGCTTTCATCGTCTTTCAAAACGAGCTCATTAGCACAAACTTCAGGAGGAAGTGAAGTGTTCGAACTTCTTGAACATTTTTTGCTGATGATGTCGTTCAAAAGAACAACGAATGCTTCACCAGCAAATCATCCAGCTCAGAGGAAAAAAAAGTACATCAAAATAATCCACTTCAGGTACAAATCTTATCCAACAACTCAAAAAGACGTCAGACTTTCGAAATAGCACAGAATTAAATGATATATACACTACAACGCTGAAAATAAATCTGAAACATAGTACAATTATGATTGTGTTGAACTGTTTTTGAACTACAATGTGTGTTCATAAAACATAAATCCATAATACATATACAAGATATAGATTTGAAACCGACAATGCTACTTCATTAAGTATCATTATTGATGTGTATAAAAATTCAGTAACGATTTTATCTTTCAAGTTGACCGATACATATTCCACATCATATCATAACTATTGATAATTAGTAGTATGTTATGCTACGAAATGTTTACAGTGAAATAAATTAAGTTAATATATGAAAACTGTCTGTAATTCATAAACTATTCAATGTTGTATTTATTTGAATTTTTTATTATCATATTTTGCAGTTGGAAAGTTTAAGACAAATGTAATAACCATGTGTCATAACGCATTGAAAGAAAACAATATTGGAGCATTGAAGAAAATTTTTCGAACTGGTTCGAACTAAAATTTTAATTCTTCATTTACATGTGTATAGTGTGAATCGTTCGTTTAAATAATAAAGTTCATTGTCTTCTGCTTTCACCGTTCACAAAAGAATGAAAGTGTTCAAATCTCAACAGAATTTCATTGATATTGACCTTTATAAACTAACTGAAGATGATGGTATAGATTAGAGGAAGGGTCGCCTTAACCTATTAAAATCTATCTGTGTTGAAATTTTCAGTTTTTGTTGCAATCGAATATTGTTATATATATCAGACAAACATTCGTAAGATCATCACGCGTCTCATTCTATTTGAGACTGTAGATATCACTTCTCATGATAATCAAGCATGAACTTAGTACTCTTCTCTCCGAATATCAAATCGTTATCGTACGAGGATCTTATGCATCTCATCATAGACAAATCAAATTTAGTCTTGATTATTATCAACCAAAAAACAAATTTTCACAAACAATGATAGCCAAAGGTTCACATTCTGTAAATACGATGGACAATGTGTGAATAATTCGTTTAGTATCGTTTAAAACCATGGAGATATTGAAACGAATCCCGTAAATTTTACCACTGTATTAGATTATTATTATTATTAATAGAAATTCTTAACTTCATTTCAGGAATCTCAGATGAATAAATTATTGAGAGTCTGTGGGTTTAATTTCGATTGTGAATTAGACTTTCTATCAATCCAAGTTATTCTCCATATAACTGTACTCAACTATGTAAAATCTAGGATCTAGGACTCACAATAATTGCATGGTTGGTTTGTCCGACTATAATAATCTAATTAACTTGGGTATTTATTAGTATGCAGTGTTTATGACTGTCATCTCACCGGATGTTACAAATTACAGGACAATTGGTGACTGAAAAAAACAACAGCACAACTTAAAATGCTTCTACTTTTTCAACTGGATACTGAGCTTAATTATAATTTATGATCCAATGGTTTAATGTCCATTACTTTTGCCACTAGACCAAAGCATCACCAACTGACAGTCTCGAAAACTGACTCACAAAAGAAGTGGTACACACTTTACCTACCAACCTTAAGACGAAATAAAATCGTCGTCTACATACAAAAGTTGAAGCCAGAAATGATAGGAATCCATGAGGTTTGCCAAGGCTCTATAGTTTTTACTCTGAAATAGATGTTCTGCTGGAGATAACACACTCACCGTCTAACTTTAAAGGAGTCGATCTCTTACGAGGAAAACCACTTATTGACTTCGAATATTCGGATGATAGAGTTCTGTTTGGCGAGAATGGTGACAAAATGCAATCTTCTGATCGGCTTGAGGAACAAACGTACACATGTTTGTGATGCGTTTCTGCCCATCCAAATACAAAGTGTTGTTTTAGAACTGGTAAGTGTCAGAGCCTAAACTAACTATGGAATCTAAGGTAGTCGACCACTTCATCTACCTGAGAAGTTTCGTAACTCCTGACAGATTAGTGTTTGGTGGAATCTTGGGACGGATCCAGACAACTCGACTGTTTGTTGCATACTTGCTCCACTTATAGCGTATGTTGGGACTATCGAACAAACAATGATGAGGTTAGATAAAAAATAATGAGTAAAAATGCCAAATCGGTTGACGGGTCTTTAGATCTTCATCGACTGAGCGGGTGAAAACATGCATTACGTATATTCATTCACCCTCCACTTCAACGACCGATGTTGGATAGTGTTGTATTTTGCAGAAGATCAGGAAGAGATTAAAGAAAACGTGATATCAGTTCATGAAGTCTTCAACAAATGAACTGAGTTACGTAGGCATGTATATTCTATCTCCAGTTTTTAGTTCCGGAAACAAGGGAACATATCATGTTAGGTCTTATTACTGTATTCTACTCACCTAGAGGTTTTTATTTCGCATACATGGATCTGCGAAATAGCTTAAAAAACCAATTTCTCTAGTACTCGTCCCGTTATAGCGGTAGCCGTTATTTCGTTGTGTAGCCGTTACTTTATACATCTCATCATCTACACTATCCTCAAAACAATAGTCTGACTCTATGACTGAGACACTTGACCACATTTATCTTGTACTGAAGAGGTGTGAAGCTATGGAAGTCGGTATATTGGCTGCCTCAGATATTGTGAATAAACCACATTTCACAGAACGTTCCATCTCTCTGGAAAGGAGAAAAATCATCAACGAGTATTGAATCTAGTGAAGATCTCATCGCTTCTCCATTTATTTCTCTACAAATTTGTTATTAGACATGAATTGGGTATCCGTGATGTATATGACCGGAAGCTTCTATATGTTCATTGTCGGCATAAGTAGCCTTGATTTATTTCTTAAAAGCTGTTCGCATGTGTAATCGATGGTTTCTGTCAGTGGAATATCCCTGAAGCTATATGTAATGTGCGGAGAAAACATAGTTTTGTCGGTGATATTCACATTTTTTACTACATCTACAAATTATAAACGTCTTTAACGGTATATTTCATGAAGTTTCGGTGTAATTATTTCTGTAATTTCACCAACTTTCGCACTGTTGACTGTTATGGTGTGTTTGACATATCTAGAATCGGAAGTATAGGAAACTCTGGATTGTGAACGAATTGTGCGAATAAAAAAATTCATGTAATCACTCCGTACCTTGCCTCAATTTCATCAGTAACTTACTCACTAGTGGTAAGGAGACAACCAAAACGACTGAAGAAATACACACTCTAAACCACATTAATCAATGTCGAGAGACTAAACACTGACGCAGAAAAGCCTTTCGGGTGAAACTTATTCATATCATTCTTGTAGTGCTAATCACAATTTTCAGAAAACTGGATTTCACCAACCTATTCTTTAAATAAAATCAAGCTAACAAAATACTCATAGCTCATAAAGAAAATACGATAATTCATTGACTGGAAACACCGGAAGAGGTAAATGTCACTAAATGAAATCAAACAAAAATGAAAGTGGATGCGTTCAAAAAGTGAAACATAATAGCGTTGAATCAATGAAGATCTATTCTTATTTGGTACGCCAGAGGCAAAATCCAAACAAATGGAAAATGAAATAATATAAAGCAGTCCCAATAACACTATCCAAAGATGATAAAATATTGAAAAAACTAAAGACATGAAATTCAGAAATGATATACATATTGAATAGTATGAATAGCTGAGTAAGTGTTTCATAAATATCTGAGAACAAAGCGGAAGCAATCTATTCTAGCATTCAAAATGCTATCATCAGTGAAGATTATACACCTAAATGCAAAGAGTTCGACTACCGTAGTATAAATTACAAGAAAGCGTATTAGAAAGGGCAGTAAAGAAGGCGAACTCCAAGATAGCACGCAACACGAAAATAAGAACATTAGAAAGAATGATAAGAATAAAGAGGTATTTCCTTGAAAAGCTTGGACTAGATTGTCAGGCGTAAAGTTGGATTTACTTCAAAGTTCATTCGCTGAGATTTTACAAGCACATTCCTCCTCTTTAATAAAGAGGTTATATTCAGTAAAACTCACAACAATATAAGGTAAACATCTTGAAGAAAACACCAAACACCTATAAGAATACAATTACAGAATTAAACTTAATAAACAAATGTCTAGTTGAGTCCCGTCGAGATTTGCAAAAGAAGCTAAAATCATTCCGGTTATTTATTTATTTATTCATTTGAACACATAAATATTGGCACAAGGGGGCACCAGATATATATGCGCCACACAAAACGATGAGAATGGGAAGAGAAAAATAACGTAAGGTGCGTATAAGAAAAAAAGAGAACAATTACGACCACAGATTAGTGTATGGTGGTACAATAATGATAATGATAATAATAATAATAATAATAATAATAATAATAATAATAATAATAATAATGGGGGAAACGGAAAGGTACAACCAGAAAGATTTCTTTCAGTTATAGAAGTTACAACAAATTTTATGAAGAAAGTAAAAGAAAGTTACAGCTGTATCGCCACCGGTTTCTGTTCTGAGCCATATCTGATAACGTCTCTACCCACTGTGTTGCACCATCTCTCAGACCCCAGCCAGGGAGTTGTGAAGGACTAACAGAAGCCAGTCCCTTGCAGCTATCTTTAATACTACGACACCATGTCATACACTGACCACCTCTCCACTTTTTCCAACCAGTCCCAGTGTCGGCAAATAATGCACGACGTGGAATTCTCTAGGACGACATTCGTAGAACATATCCAAGCCACCGAGGTTGGTGTTTCAAGATAGTGACACCAACCGCATTATCGTCTCTGTGCCCGAACACACGATGCCGAACCTCTGCATCAATAACATGGTGTTGCCACTGGATGTCAACGATCCTTCGGAGACAATGATGATCAAACACAGAGAGTCGTATAACGTCCTCAACTCGGAGAAGCCATGTTGCACAAGCGTAGAGCAAAACTGCTCTCACCGACGCATTCTAGATGCGACCTGTTACACTCAGACTGACATTACGAAGCACCAAAGATGGTCCAGGTTGGCATAAGCCATTCTGGCTTTCACTATACGTGCATTGATCTCATCACTCACGCCAACACAAGCACTCACACAGCTACCCAGATTCACGAACTTCTCGACCACTTCTATCTGCTCACCAACAAGGGTGAGTACGGGATTAGAATCCTGCCAGCCTTATAGAAGTACTTTTCACTTCAAAGGTGCAAAGCACATACCGTACCTATGGACACTGATTGCCAACTGATTAAGTGCGGATTGCATGGCTTGGGGATTATCGCACAGTAAGATAATATCATCCGCATACTCAAGTTCGAGAAGCCTTTTTCCAGGCAACAGATCCACACCACCATTACTTACATCCATCAGAGCTATTTCCAGAATGTCATCGATGGAAAAGTTGGAGAAGAATGGTGAGATTGGACAACCCTGTCTAACCATACTGGTTGAATGGAACAGTGGAGAAAGGTGGTTGCATGCCCTCACTCTACTTGAGGTGTTTGTATATAGGACCTTTATGGTGTTAATAAACTTCTCAGGCATACCCTTCTTCAATAGACAATCCCAGAGAACAGTCCTGTCTAACAAATCGAAGGCAGTCCTGGTGTCAAAAAACACTACGATTGTTGGCCTGTGATAAGTATGACGGTGTTCAAACATTTGGCGGAGGGTGAATATATGATCAATACATCCTCGACCAGAACGAAAACCAGCCTGCTCCCCGCGAGTCAATCTTTCTCGGTTTTTGAACAACCTATGAAGTATGACGGGAGCCAACAGTTTGGACGCAATCGAAAGTAGACTTATCCCCCGATAGTTGCTGCAGTAAGAACGTGAACCCTTTTTAAAGATAGGGACAACTATTGACTCGTTCCATGATGTTGGGACACTATCTGGCTCCCAGACCTTTGTAAACAACGTTGTCAGTTCCTTAACCAGAAAGTCAATGGATGATGATAGTGATTGGTATCCCGTCAACCCCGCAGATTGTTTCGCTCACACCAGACTTCTTGCTGCAAGTGGCTCGGATGAGTTGGAAGAGCTTCCGGTAGTTACCAGATGCAGCTGCTGCTTCCAGCTCATTAGCACGCTCCGACCACTAGGCTTCTCAGCCCTTACACAAGCTTTGCCAGGTTTCATTACGTAACAGCCTTCGTTTGTGGTCAAACTCACGGTCACACGGAGTAGACCGACGGGCTTCGATGAGTTGTAAGGAGTCTGAAGAAACCCAGTGCTTATAAACGGGACGTTCCACGAAGCCGCGAGCGGATTAACTCGCCATTTTCATGGCGTCATGCAGTTGCAACCAATGATCATCTATACTTTCCAGTGGGATGGTGGCTAGCCTAGAAGCTAGCTCGGTTCGATGCTTACTTGCAACAGAAGTTGCACAGAAGATCAGATTTGAACATTTGGTTGTTTAGTCCGTTGTCCCCGTTGATTCTCTCATTTTCCCTGGTTCGCTGTACATCAAGGACATAGGTCGCAGATGAATCCACTGAATTTTGGGAGGAAAGAAATTCATTAGCACGTAATCTCTGTGTAACACTCGCTTCTAACTCAACCATATATGCGTTTGAAGAGATTCAATTTGGCTCAAGAAATATCTTCTCACCAAACTAACATTACGTTTAATCTTACACCGACGAAGGGATTTACAACACTGCTTAAAAAACCATGTATAACAATGTAATCACGAACAAAATCCAACAGTTTTCGCTTCACTGAATTTCGCACGATACTTCGCGTACTCGGTGAGTCCCTTCAGTACAACTGGGTGGTCACTAGATTACAGCAATATTAAAATCAGACAACAAAGTTCCTTGCTATGGAATATTCCATGGGGATTTCTGGATCGCTTAAGTTCAATTAGTTCACACACCACTCTCAGATTGTCTCGTGAAATAATCCAAATCATCAAATCGTTGATTTCAGTTTCCATCTCAAATGTTGTCTAGCTTCGACTTAGCAAAACACTAAAGCTCATTAATTAGTTATACTTGAAATTGAATCGGTGAGATTCTTGCAATATGACAAACATCTACACTCAGGTATCTCACTGTACGATTGTAACCGAAATGGATTTTGTTTTTACGTACATGGAGAAATGAAATATACATTAAAATATATGAAGATTCACTTATTTATTTTCAGGACAAAATTTGTTTGTGGACTAATTTTAGGTCACCATAATAATGTCAAACTCAAAAATTCAACATATAAATTGTTCATTCAAACGAAATCACTTTCAAATATTTTATATTTGCATACAATAGAATGAAACATGATAATTAATTCATGAATTGTATGGTTGATACATATGAATAAACTGTCAGTTCATTGAAACAATTTGCAGATATCTAACCAACCACAACATAACAACAATTGATATTGGGTAATTAATTAATCAAACCGGAAGTAAATTTTCCATTATATAAACGAAGCTGTGCACGGGTAGAATATGAAGTGACTCGTAAACTAAACAGCAGTTATTATCAACCATGTCTTCTCATGGAGGTAAGTGAACTATATTTTTTTAAAATTACGCTTTAACTCATACTATTGTAATGATTATGCTGAGTTACTTGAGTAGTAATAAAGTTTGTTAGTATACTGAGTCTAATTGTCTAACAGTGTAGTGTAAAACCGCGGTATTGGGAAATATAGAATTGATTTCCAGTGGTCGTAACACATGGCATTTGCAGATGGTTCGTTTTGAATGATGAACTGGTAGAGATTTAGCACGTTAGTAGTCGAAATATCTGGATCGAGTATCAACGACATGTCATACCATTCAATGAGGTTGAAGTAGTATTATGCGTTTGGATGATTTGGTTGTATCTATTTAATCATCAAAATCTACTAGCACATGCAAAACCAACAGTTTGCTGTTGTTTATACCCGATAAATAAGTACTGTTGCAAAGTCTTCATCACGTTAAATACACTCATTATATTCAAAAATTTCGTCTAACATTTGACTTTGCAGTAAACTATATCTGTTTCTTTCACAAATTTATTCAACCAAAAACTATTTTTATGTTATTAAGAGAACGGGTAAATTATTGATCACAGATGGAATCCATAAGCAATGGTGGCTCATTTCAGAGCCAAACATTGACTTAACAACATTCAATGTAGTTTTAAGTCCAAATCTTATTCTATATCAAAATAATACGTATTTAAATAACAGGTTTGGTTCATCACATATCACATAAGCTTTCTTGACACTGACCACTTTGATTGTCATAAACTTGCCTCTCCAGACACAAAAACTCTTCATACGGTTTCAGCCAAACGCATTTATGCAGAAGTATCTTCATTGACAGGAGTCACTGCACTAACCACTAGTTTCACTCATTATTATGGCTAACAACGAAGATGGGTTTTACTTATCACGTCATATTTCACATGATAAGTGCTTGTGAATTCTAATAGAGCACTAGTTCTACATGCACGACTTTCAGCTAGTCACCTCCATTATACGATACCCAATACGTAATGTTTGTAAGGTAACTAAAGGAATTGATCCCCTAATATACAGTATATGATAGTAACTAAGTAAAAGATTTCTACAGTTATTATTTATCGAAGTGGTGAGAGTCATTTGAAAAGGCTACATCTTCTGCACACCGAAATTGTATTATCCATGTGCAGTCACCACATATGGTTCCTCATGGATGAACTGAACTCTTTAACCATTTGATTGCTAAACTAATTCATCTGAACAACTCATCGGATTCTGCAGTTCAGTATGTTTTAGACACATCTGCTCACCTTACTAAACTAGCTAAGAGCTCACGGTCAAAGTTCCATTTATTGTGTCACCACTCATGAGGGATGCCTCTTTTATACACTCGATATCCAGTCTAGTACTAGTCTCACACTCACCCACCTCCGGGTATAGCCAAATAAACTATTCGTCCTTCATACTGCCGTCTTTGGATCTATTAACCAAACATGTGGTTAACGTACATCATTTGAGTACAACGTTCAGAACACTTGTACCAGCATCACCCAGTTCTGAAGTATACAGTTATCTTCATTGACCTCTAGTGTTGTCTAGAATGAACCACAAAATGTGCGTTGGATATTTGCAAGCAGTCACCACATTCCAAATTGCGTTACAAGAATAGTGGGCAGAAACCAACTAACAATTAGAATGCTAGCAATTCCTAGTGATCACCATGTCTACTACTGTTCCACTGGAGCGTCATATATTCAGCTCATGTGTTAAACAATCATATCAAAACTTATAGATGTCCCTCTTGTAAACCACATAGTTTAAGTTCACACATTACACAAAGCCTAATTATTTGACGTCTATAAATAATGACTTCACATTATCTTAGCATAAAATGCTTTCAACAGATTATATTCACAATCAATGTCAGTGGTTAATTTCTTGACAACACGAACCATTAATGTACGTAGGCATGACTATCAATATGACATGACAAACAATCTTGACTGTTGTTTAAGGTTTCAGGTTTATGTGTGAGTTTGGGTTAACGTTTATTTCCGTTCGTGCGTTTTACTAAATTTGTGCTTCAAGCATAATGCAGTGACGTACGAACATTAGTAAACATAATTATTCAAAAATAAAATATTTATTACCAAATGAGTATGCACTAAGCCATGACTGATCTTTAATTATAAAGGGTCGGTTTTCTGTTTTTAACTCACACCCAAAAAATCAAATGGATGGCTCATCCACACAGTAGACTTGATTAATTGGATTTCTTCATATTCTTCACTTCAGCTGAACATCATCACGAACATCATGAAGAAGCCGGTCATGGTCATGACAACAAAGAGCATTGCAAATCGTCTGAACACTGTGTGAAAGACTGCCATGACAAAGAGGGTGCTGGTCATGGATCTCATGACAAGCCACAACATTGTGGAACTGGTTGTCATAAACCAGGATCTGGAAAAGATCACGGTGGTCACTAAACACATGTATCAGAAATTCCTAGATAGTTCATAAACTTATTTCTTAAAAATAACTAACACAAAGTAACTACAGACATTTTATTGACTATTGAATTTTAAATATACATTTTTAATGCCTATACACTTTTTGCTTTTATGTAACGTTAATTATTCTGTCTAATCCACTGTTTTATTAAAGTTATATTCACATTAAGTAGAATCTTACGTAGTAATAATTCTCTCTTGAAGAATGTCAAATCGATTATAGTCGTCACACAGTTGGTGTTACATCCAGTCGAATTTTCCGATCTGCGTGAGTCAGAAAAATTGACTTCAAACGCATACGGTACACATGATTCGAAATCTTGAGTGAATGACTATTACAACGAGGTCTGTACATGTTGTCCACTTTATTGTGAGCTGCATGTTCAATATTATTTCACTGTCTCAATGGTTAAACTTTTAAGTACAAAAACTGTGATGAGTAGATGCAGTAGTACCGAATTCGGTAATATGAACTGGTAATTCCTAGAACTGTCCAATACGTAATCTAGTGATCACAAATCCACCAGCGCTCAAGTAATAGAGAATACAGTGAGCAGAATTGAAGGTATAACCTCGTAATTCCAAACAGACGCGTAACAATTTACAAAACATTTATTACTTAGCACGAACACCACAGAATACATTAACGTATGGTTTCCCACACCAACCAGTCTCTTCGTTTCTGTCCTCCAAATAAAATCATGCACTTTCAACAAGCTATAAAAATGAGAATCCACCTAAAGTAGCTTCAAATTATATATACATGTCTGAAGTAGGAGAGCAGCCTCGAAGTAGTCACATCGAAATGTCACAATTCTCTGTTATTTTCAGCTTTGTGGGCTTACGTAAAACAATCGACAATCTGTAACGTTTGACAATAAGCCTTAAGATTAATTGCAATGGCGAGCATGTTGTTATTTTCCTTCAAATCTGCATCCTACTCCATACTTTGCTTTGCTTCCTAATAATTTCTTAACATTGCTTCACCTCCTTACTATTCGTCATGATGATTTTGTCCAATACGTTTTAGCTTTGTATGTCTACTCTCACAGCCCTAATGCGAAGTGTAATGATCAATACATAATTGAGTTGAGTGATGATATTTATTGTTCACTAACGAATAATCACCATTAAAAACTAATATGGCACCCCTTCATATGACTGAATCCGACACTTTCAGGAATACATAGTTTTTGTTTGCTAGATTGTAGAATGAATATTAAGGTATTGCAGAATGACCGAAAAGTACAGTTACATTGGCAGCTGATCAAAAGATTTCTAGTCTTAAAGTGAAATCAATGTGGAAAATGTTCGTTGAAATTGTGTTGAATGATTACATTTGCAATTACAACGATGATACGCAATCGATTTACAACTCATAAGGAGTTATCTAATTAGAAAGGGAAATTACAGAATCGACTATCGCTTTCCCGTTCCCAGTCGGGATGTTTCACAGGTTCTCAAATAAACAGTCAATAGAATAAATCCACTGGGGAGTTCTATAGAACGAATATGTGGCTAATAAATACCCATACAGTTATCAACAAAGATTGTATTAGCCTATTTCTGGACAACTGAAAGACATACAAGATTTATCAAATCAAAAACATTCTACCTAGTGTAAAGTGAAAAAATATCCATCACGAGTAGGAAGCATAGAGGGGAACCAACACGTTCGAGTGTAAACCAACAAGAAAACATGGCAATTGATGTATTTTTTCCTCAATTGTAAAGCGCAATTAATTGGAAGGCTGGATTCAGTTATTCAGTCATTTTAGCCATGAATGTAGTATCCATATAATCTGATGATTTGAGATACGTAGGTTTGAGATATGACAATCAAGTACATTTATTTGCAAGGTAAAAACCTGGATAAGCCAATCAAATATGTGCGAATGGTATAAGTCTACATCGGTAAACGTAAATCAGCGGTTCATGTAGCCCCAAACTCTGTCATCCATTTCTCATACCGTTCAACATCACTGGCTGAAACAGATCTGCACACACGACCGACTGCTTCTTCGAAATCAGCCATTCGTGTCGGCTGATTAAGTGTAGCAGTATTAAGACCTTTAATTTGCTCTACTGAGAGTCCTTCTATAGCTCGTCGCATAGACATCATTGAAGCATCTCTACAATAATCAAAAATATATCACTATAAAATCGGGCGGGATATTATGTGAGTAGGAAAATATTACTTATACATTAACTTGAAAATTGAAACAAATATGACATTTACAAAATTCTAACAATGACGAGTGAAAATTAATAAAACGAATTTGAATTTTAAAAGGACAAGAACTAGTGACTCTGAATTACCAGTTAGTGGAAAAAACGGTCAGGTGCAACGAGCAGAACTAAGTTAAAGTTGATTTGTTTGTGATGACAACTGAGGTAGGTTATGACATGCACAAACGCGTGTTCCCTCTATCGTAAAACTACACTATAGCAGTGATTGATAACAGACAAAAACTTTCAGTTCAAAGCTTTTCATTGATTCCTCTTCACAATACACTTGATATGTTAACTGGGAAAACAGTAAGTTTCTCAATCAGTGTTAGTGTTGAGTAGACAACATAGTAACCATATTCAGGCTCGTGGAATAGGCTGTGAACGACCCCATCTATTCTTTAAAATATAATAGACGGAACCAACGCATACCATGAGTTCACAGTTGAAAGTTATGTGTGACGAAAGTACCTAGTTGTACATAGGAAGTAACTGGAGAACTCATCAAATCCTCCACATAATAGATTGAAACCGATATCAGTACCGTACTCTATCTCCAGTCTTCAGTCCAACAAACTAAACAACACAGAAGACAAGGTTCTAATACCGCATTTCAGGCACCCAGAATTAGAAGTGCAAACTTTCACCTTTTTTGACAATAGTCACAAAATGTTCTTGTTTAAAGGTAACATAGATAGATAACATAGAAACGGAGACTGGAATTAAAAGTCAACGAAATGCACGAAATTTATTATCTAACGATTTTCAGATTCATGAATCTTGACGCAACGCTTTCAGAAGACTTTGTTTGTCCACATATGTTTATTTGCTTCGAAGATACTTTACCTCACGGACTGAAGTCAAGTTGAGAAGCAAGGGGTATTTCTTTTATCTGAGTTTGAAACGCGCACCAATTATGCTTTATGCGATCGAACCTAGAAACTTTATGTCCGATGGTAAAAGTGATATCATTTAGCCGAGAACTCGGCATCCAATAAAAATCCCTCATAACTTCTATGGATTAACAATATAGTGTAATCACTGTTGCAAACATTAACGATAGGTTGCTGCTTTTCTTTTAACTCTGTCTGAGAATCTTGTTTTCGAACCTTCAAAAAATGCCTCTATAAAAAAATCATGTTCTCAAGAGTAAGTTGCTCAGAGTTTTAGCGAGAAATCGTGAGCTAAAGAGTCAACCAAGTAGAAAGTATAGTATCCGAGAACGGTTTCTCGAAACCGCAAAACAACACAAGATGAAAATGATAACCACATGATTCCAAACCAATAAATCAATAACACTGTATTCACTGTGAAAATTGAAACCGTTAGGAACGATCCTGTGTTGATGCTGAAGATATATAGCTCAAAGGAATGCTTTTGGTTTTTGTTTCGATGGTATGTAATGCTGATGAATTTTAAACGACAGCAAAACGACAGTATATCTCTATTTCACTAATGAGTTTTGTTATTTGGTTTCATTTGTTACAAGATTTAACCTTCTCAGTTCGGAATGTGGAAAACGTTTGGAGTGTGTACTGTTGAGTTTCAAGCTAAGACATATTAAAATATGACCATTCCCCTTCACTTTATAGCTAAAGATAACAAAATAACTTAAAATTAAACCATACCCCTATAGTCAATTATAAATTATTGGTGATATTATCTTTGAAATTCAGAAGTAACAAATAAACAAAAATCGTAACTATTTATATACCTGCATACATTCGTTATGTCTGCACCGGAATAACCATCTAATTGTTCAGCTATACTGTCTAAATCAACATCTTCTGCTAAAGGAACGTCTTTCAAGTTGATTTGCAGCAGAGTTTTGCGTGCAGTCACTAAGGTAAATCAAAATCAAGACGACATAGATTAGGAAGAATCTCAACAAATCATTGAGTCAATGAGATTTATTTTTATGAATTCTGTTGAATAAACAAAACATAGCAGTTCAAAAGTATAAAATCATTTAAATAACTAATGTACGATTAGATGATTCTCGTCATTTCTCCTATTCAACAAATGTCAATTAAATAACGTGGTTCACTTCAAGAAACTAAACGTTGTAGTCTCTTAACCAGTTACAACTTTACGCGGTGATAATCAGTACCATTCAATAATAAATGGGATGTGGTAAACCGAAATGAACTTCAGTGATTAAAGTGTTTAATACACTTTCCATGGTACAAATGTGATATCTACCACTAGAAAACATATATAAGGTCGTGGTTATCTAGGCTTTTTGACGTATCTGACTACTTTTATCATGCATCACTTAATAATAACAACTTTATACATACAGGATCTATGACCATTAAGACGTCTATTCTGTCAGTAATTCTGTACTAGAAAACGATATCAACTGGAATCATGTATTTTTTATACATCTTATGCCTGATACTATTACCAACTCCATCAAAAATATTCATATTAACTCGAATTATTTGTTACCACTTTGTTTTTACTCACTTTACAATGCTCGTAAATTTATTTATTTACTTGAACGCAGAAATATTGGTACACGGGGATATCAAATACATACGCGACACATAATAACAGTACAACAAACTAAAGAACACAGAAAACAAGGTTTTAATATCGCATTCCAGGCACGCAGAATACGTGTATAAGTTCGACAGTGACAATACTAGTTGATTAAGTATCATTATTGATGTGTATAAAAATTCAGTAACGATTTTATCTTTCAAGTTGACCGATACATATTCCACATCATATCATAACTATTG